CTGATGACAGGTACTTCCCCTTGGCAGAGCTGAGTCTGGAGGGCAACCCGCTGGAGCCACCAGTGCTTGCCAGTATCTCTCACGCCCTGCAGCAGCTTAGCTTTCGCGAGGCTGGGAAAGGGAGCGTGGGCGGTGTAGGCCAGGAGGGGGTCTCAAGTTCTCTCAAGATTTTGTTGGACCAAAATGGTTGGCTTCTGCGTGGTCCTTTGAACACAAGCTTTTCACGGGATTCACTGGTAACAAGACACACACACACACACCCGGGTTGTGGCAAGGGCCCACTTTGATACCCTCAAGGGGAACCGGGCTTGGATTTGTAGCGAAGAACTTGTGGGTTGCTCAGGCCCTGGCAGCCATGAACATGTGAAGCTGCAAATTGAATGGAATCCCACATATAGTTCATAGGTTGGCACCTCTAATTCAAGGCAATGGTTGATTTTGCCAGGGCACGCCCCACCCCAAGCCGCACACAGTTGGGCAAGGAAACCCAAATCAGGCGGTTTCAACGCGCCAGGCGCCTCCTCTGGCGCAGCCAGAGCTCCCTTCGTTTGGGTCCCTGCAACCCGCGCAGAGCCTGCCAGACCTCCGGGAGGATGGCTCCATGGAGCGCGTAGAGCGGGGCGCGCTGAGCCCCGCGCCGGGCAAAGGGAGGGTGGGATGCACAGGGCTCTTTGAACTTTCCCTTTGGGCGCTGGCAAGCATTACCTTATGGACCAAAATGAGTTTCCTTTGGGGGTGCTGATGCATGTCTCTTTTGACCCAGGCGTTCAGTGGATTTCACACTTAACTCCCTTCTTCTTTGGCCAGGGCCCGCTAAAAGTCAACCCCATGAAGTGGTCCTTTCTCATCAAGGTGACTGAACGACTAGGTTAAGGTGGTAACCCCTTTTGTGGGATTTGTTCAAGGGGAAAGTGATTTTTCGGAGCATCCAGCTTGCGCAGGATTTGTCCTGTAATGAAAAGACCTCCTCTATCTAAGCAAAGACGATGTTTGGAAGCATTCCACATGTGTCAATATCAGCTGAGAGAGTATCAAGGCTTCACTAAGCCCAAGGCAGGCTACGCGTGAGGTGTATTCTTCATATTGATTCGTTTGGGTTCGTCTCTATATAGAGGATTTCCTTTTGGATTCTCTTTTAAAAGTACCCTCAAAAAGAGAGACCTAGGTACTCTTAGGGTTTTGCTGATTTGCTTTGGGTTGCCTTTTGAAACTGCGCCCCAAAACCTGAGTTGCTCCCTCCTGTTGCTGGTCCTTCAGCACTTGCGCTGAGGTGAGGGTGACATTGAGGATGCAGTCAGCATCTATGTGCGGCCCAGAGCGGCGGCCTGCCTTGTTTTGAGCTGTCAGAGCAGGGTTAGGTCTCACTTCTGTGACCCCAGTGAACCGTTACCACCCTAGTGTACCTGGATGTTCGATCCACAGTAGGAGAAAGGTGATGGCCTTGTCGTCGGTGAGACACAACCTTGGTTTTAACTTTTCAGTGGGTTGAACATCCAACGTTGAAGAGGCTCGGTTACACCTTTCCATGGTATGACTTCCTAGCCCTGCCCAAAGCAAACCGACCCTTTGTCCTTATTTCAAGGTTTAAAGATGCCCAAAATTGTTATCGTTTCCTTCAGTTTCGCTTTACCAGAGAACTGTTTTCTACGCTAACAACAACTGTGGAGAAACTCAGTTGTTTCCCCTTTTGAGTTTCTGTTGCGCTCTTTTGAGACAACCCCTTGCCTGAGGAGATCATCCGCGAGTTTCAGGAGGACCTTCAGCTCTTGTCTGCATTTCTGACCACCCAGCGCTTCCACCCGCGACCAGACCACGACGATGCCCCATACCCGAGCAGCCGGGATAGCCTCGAGGAGAGTGTTCACCACTCCGTTTGTTCAGCCGGTTGCTCAAGACGGAGCATGGTCGACCCAAAAATGGTGCTTTGTTTCTACCCTGGATTGAACTGCCATTCAGAGAGCAATTTTCAGGATGTCTTCGTGACCCAGAACATGGTACGGCAGATGTTTTGACGCAGTAAAGCCATGTCAGAGTCACAGATTGTCTCAGCACAAGATGAGGTGTCTCAGATGCGTCCGTTTGGCCTCAAAAGAGCGGAGTTGGAGCCCCAACCAGGACATACAAGAAATCCTTGGTGCGAACTTGGCCCATGTGCTGCCGAAATTCCTGGTGATTTTTCGGGATCTCAGGTTTTAGGAGACTCGAATCTGGAGAAAAGAGCTTTCAAACTTTTGTGCCAACAACGGCCCGCCAGGAGGGTTTGGGCCTGCCGCCCACGGGGCCGGGGGGTGCCATGGGTGTGATGGGCCTGGCGGAGATCCCGGACCGCGCCAGCGACTTCGGCTTTGGCCCCCCAGTGCTGCCTGGGACCTACTCCCACACCGACTCGCCGGAGGCGTCCACCTCCGAAGGCGAATGGACACCGGGAATGGGGACCATGATGGGGGGGCGTTGGAGGCCGCGTTTTTTGTGTGTGTTTTCATTTCTGCTGGCGAAGAAAGGGAAACCGAAAAGGAACGGTGGTTTGAAGGGGAACCAAAACGAAACCCATCATTTTAAGAGTCCAAATCCCTATCTTGAGACTGCTTTAAGCCATAGGGGCTGTTTGGATATGGGATTTATCTCCACCAACCACTCACTAGGGGTTGCCCTTAAAAATCCAAGTCGCCATATTGGGATGTGTCTTATGTTGATTTCCCTTTTTCACCGAACACCCAGAGAGGCCCGGCCCAGCCTCCTCCTCCGGCGCCGGCGGGGTATCCAAGCGCCCCTCCACCGCCGTCGCCGCCGGCGAGACACGCACGAATGCAGGCGAGGGGAGCAGGGCGTGGGTTTCCTTTGGCTTCCCTTCAAGGCTACCCTGCGGCTTTGCCTCTGAATTGGGGTACCCACCAAGTTTGATTTGGTTTCCCTTTCAACCCAACCAAAAGGAGCTCCCCCCAACAAAGACACACCTCTAGATTTCTCTTTTCAGCTCGTGTGATACTAAATAGCCGTGAGCAAACATGGGGTCGTCGAAATCGCCCGGAAAATACATGGGGCTGGATGTTGAAATGTTCACCTGCGCTGGGCTGTCGTGGGCTGTTATGATTAGCTGCTGAAGGCATTTCCTGAGTCCGGCAGCCCCTCAGTTTCCCTTACGTGGCAGTTGTTGTTGAATCTGCCACTGAATGGCCACCTCAGGAAATCCATAACCCCTGCCATCTAGATGTTGACACAGTATGTTTGTCGTGCCAATAGCTTGCTTGTGGGGATGATTTTTAGAGGGAGCAACCCTCACAAAAACACGTATCTCAATGCCTGCGTATCTCTGAGATGTGTCCAAGGTTCCAGGGTCCATTTCCTTGAGTCAAAGTCTCATGTTCACATCCGCCGATTCTTGGGTGCCCGATTTTGCCAGCCATATCCCGGATCCCGTTCATATCTGAAACTGGAACACAAAAAGCCATCATTCTTACTGGAGTTTCCTCTTGACGTACCCGCTTGTGGGGTTCCTTGTTAATTTGCAGGGGAGTCATGTCAACCTCTGATGGATACCCCCACCTCCACTTTGTTTTTTGTTGGATCCCTCTTTGGTGGGATGCCTTTCATCCAGGGTGGTTGTTCAGCGGAATTCAGTGTTCCTGCGAAGCTAACCCTCAGAGTGTGTTCTGAGGAGATTGATTCCAAGTGCTGAGCTAACCGGAAAAAAGCCCCAGCTTCCGGCACGGTTCCCTTGAACTTCCATTTCCGAAGCCAAGCCGGCGGAGAGCCCAGGTGCTGCGGAACCTGCTAGCGGAGAGCAGCGATATGCCCGTGGAGCCGGTGCTGCGCTTCGCGCTGGACCTGGTGAGCTCTGAGACGAGCCTGGACACCGAGGCGTGCACCGGGGGCTCAAGCGAATGGCGGGGCCTGGGATGGTGGGGGGGGGGGGGGTTCGCCCGATGGCTGGGGGGTTGAGGGGTTTAGTGAGATTTTGTTCAGGGGCCTGAGTCTGGTTATTTTAGATGGATTCTACTGGTGTCGGTTGTGTTCGAAGCATTTCCCACTGCCGTCGATTTTTCCAGCAGGACACCACGTTATGGCCCGTTGAGAGGGGTTAAGCGGAGATCGCTTGAAAATTGCTTGAGGTTCACTGTTCACGCGTGTTTCATTTCTCTTAGAAGGAAGAGACCTGTGACAGGAACGGGAAACAGACTGGATGTGTGTGTGTGTGAAATTGGTGGCATACATTCTGCATACAAAAAAGACCACGTTGGACGTATGAGTGCAAAGTCCTATTCCCTGGGTTAAGAAGTACAAACTCAAAACCACCACGTACCTGTGGTTACCGCAAAAGACATGAGGGGTTTTGTCCCCCCGAGTTTAGTTGGGAAAATAAGTTAGCGTTGTCTCCAAAAGGGAACCCCAAAAGTTTTCTCGTGAACCCCTTCAAGGGCACCGAGCCTCGAAGGGATACCCAGTTCGTCCCCGAGCTGGTGAGAAACACGTGCGACTGGGATGACAGGCGCAGCTACAGCAGCTTATGCACCGTGATCGCGAGGCTAATGATAGCATCCGCCGCGCTCACTCTGTGTGACCGACACGGGGTTGCTCCGAGCTGTTGAAAGGGGAGAACGTTCTTGAAAGTATTTGGTGGATATGAGGTGTTGTGGAAGGGTCAAATCCCAACATGATCAACACTGTGGAATTTGGGGAAAGAAATTGGTCCTCTTGATCCCTCCGGGGCCTGGCCCTCATGAACGGCTCGTGCGAGCAACCCCAAGGCCGCACATTTCTAGCTCTCGGCCATTCGCCGTTGCCAATGACCGCGTTAATGTGAACGTCCAAAAGCTTCACCCACCGGGATTCTAAGGTTGAAGTGCGCAACAGATTTGAGGGTCCAGGCTTCCCAAGGTATAGGTATATCGAGGCATGTCTAGGTATGCCTGGGAAGGTATTGGATACCCTGAGCCCATGACCGGGTACCTGTGGGTTGCGGTAGCCTTGGAGCAAAATCCCCTGGGAGTGGATTCTCTGAGGCCCCAGACTGAGGCCAAGAAGAAGGCACAGCGCAGATTGAGCCGAGATGTTCGAGGGAGACATGTATACATGCAGATGTATACATATGTATATACGTATATATGTGTATGTGTACATATTATAATATACATATATAAATATATATATATCCCCACACACACACACACAAGTAGCCATGGGCTGGGTGAAACATGTTCTATTCTGGGTGTGATGAAGAGTTTGGCTCTCCAGATGTTTCTCTTGTTCAATGGATAACAACGAGCAACCATGTTTGTCAAGACGTCGCGGCTTTGGAGCACACGTGATGCTTTATCAGTGCCGGTGGGATTTGTCTTTTTAGGGCAGCCTTTTGAAGTGCGGTTCATGTTGACCCAAAATGAGAACCGCCACCCATGTTGAGACTCAACATGTGGGAATCCTCCAGCTGGTGGGTTCCTTCGTGTTCACTTTGAGGTTAATATGAGTGGACCGCAGTCAGCATGGCTCTGCTGTCGCTGGTTGTGGGACTTCAGTTGTGCAAAGCACATACAGGGTGCATGTTTTTCAAAAGCCCATTGACCTCGAGAGAGCGTTCAAATGTGAGTCGCCCCCATTCGGGCCATGTTGTCAGATCACTTTGATAGATTTGACATAAAAGTCCTCACACCCAGAAGGGTGTGGCTTTGGGGGGCACATGTTCGGCTGGATTGAGAGGAAAGCCAAAATAATACTTCATTCAGGGGTTTGTCTGATTTGGACACAAACCAAGAGGGGAAAACTATCTCTGACTAGACAAGAAGGATTTTCAAAAGCTTCGCGCACCGGGTTCACCCGTCAGCTGTTTCTTGCATTGACTAGTTGAAGCTAAGCAGCGCCAATCCTTAAGAAGAAGTGGAGACGACAGTTTTGTGTGAATCGGGGGGTCTTTGCCAACCTAATCAGAATGATTTCGTGCCACGCTACATTAACGCAATCGCAGGTCTGTTGCCCCTCCTTCGGAACCAGGCCTGTGGCCCACATTTGGTTTTGGTGAGGGTTCCGCCACCAAAGTTGGATTTCGTCACGAGCATCCACAAGCCCTTGGTCAAAACATGTGATTCCCTTGGGGGGGAAACCGAATTTGCTCAAGCCAGTCCTCTTACTGTTGAGCCCAGGTCTTCTACACAACTCATTACGAGCTCACAGGTTTGGGCGGGGGAGGGGAAACGAGCTCGGGCCATGATGAATCCCTTACTTCGGGATCGTCTTAATTCAGGTTTGTGAATTCTAGTACCTACTGCAGCTTAACGTGGAAGTTAACAGCCTGTATGCATTTTAGAGTAGCGAGATCGTGTTGGGGGACCTTTGTTTTGGGTTCCATGGTTTTTGTGGGAGTGTAGTTTGCCCAAAGCCGCTTTTGTCCAATCCAGGCAAAGCCATGCAGTGGAGGCAGGGGAAAGCATTTGGTCAGAGCGACTGGTGTGAGAGCGGATCAAGCGTTCGTTTGCTGGTTGCACCCCTTGTAAAGTGCAGACTTGTCTCTAGTCATCATGTGTTGCAGGTTCATGACACCAGCATGGCATGATAACGACCCCGAGAACGCGCAAAGAAGGCATTTACTATGAATCAGGCAGCTATGCGCGTGTGGGCAGAAAGCTACAGCTATGCGCCACCCGTGTTGCCACTTGAAAGGAGCCAAGCAGTTGGGATACTGATGAGCCACAAGGGAAAGGTGGATCTTCACGGGCCCAACCCAAACCATTTGTGCGGGGCAGCCTCTTTGTGCAGGGCAGCCCGGTCGATAGTCGCGTTTTGGGGTAGTCTTTATTGTTTGCGTTTTAAGAGACCGGATGAGCAACGACCCATGGTAGTTGTCGTAATTTATTTGGGGGGTCCTTCTTGTGGCCCAACATGCTGGACCCGGGCGCACCCAATTGCCCCTGCGAGCATTTGGCAGGCCGAAGCTCGGAAACCCGAAGCTCCGCTGAGATCCAGCTGCGGCGCCTCGGTGAGGAGAGGCGAATTGTGCCAGAACTGGTTGCTTCACTTCCATTCGCTGAGGAATATGTCTGACGTAGTTTTAGTTTTGCCAGGGACTTGGCAAATGGAGGTTCACGGCAAGGTGTCGCTTTGTTGGCCTTATGTAAGCATCCCCTTGTTGGTCAAGTTTCACACGGGCCGCTTTTGAGCTTTTGCCTGTAACCAGCTGGTCTAAGTCTGGCCAAGTGGGTTCTACCAGCTGGTTTCGTGCGGGTTGTAGTGTGGTGGGGGCCGTGTAAACCTGCATGATGATTTTGGTAGACCCAAAAGTCAATGGATTTTGGAAGCTCCCCATTTCTGATGTTTGTTAAAGAGGCATCAATATGCTGAAGGCCCTGTTTAAATCTAGTTTGGGTTTTGCAGTCACGGCATCACTCGCCTAGGCCACTCGCAAGACTCACAGCCGTCGCGGCAGGAACTCGCTGCCGAAGGCCAGCGCTTCCGACAGAGAGGCAAAGAATGCCTGGAGCCCAACACCTGCAGATGTGTCACAACCAGTGGACCCCAACATGGGCGTTTGGCCTCTTAAAGGTCCCTCAGACAACGCACACGCACAAGCACATGCACAAGCACACGCACACGCACACGCACACACACACACACACACACACACACACACACACACACACACACACACACACACACACACACACACACACACACACACACACACACACACACACACACACACACACACACACACGCGCACCCACGCAGCATGGGGACCAGAGCTCGCAGCATCCAGAATGGATGGCAGGGATGTGTCGCTTGGAATCGCTCGCCCTGTTACCTCTTCTTTTTTCGAAGGCCTATGTTCATGCTTCGCACTCGCTATTGTATCACAGGAGCACAGTCTTCAACGCTTTAGAAACAAGGCAAGCAGTTGCTATTGGTTTTGACACTGCTGGCTCACCTTAGACCTCATATTTGCCGACTCTGGGTACAACATCCTCGCTTTCGAGGGGCAACGCCCCTGAGGCTAACCATGAGGTAGCACTAAATCCCCACGGTATTTGTTATTTTATTTTTTGGGGGGCACCCTTTTTTTAGATTGGTTGAAACCAACCCGACGTTGACAGACGGAGGCATGGAGATGGCCATGCGGGCGGAGGCTTTGCACCTCGAGGCCAGGGCATCGGATTTGTGTAAGCGGGAACCCGGCTGGCGGAAAGGGAAAAGGGGCTTAAGGCCTAATTGGACGAATATGTCCATAAGGGCCTAAATAACTAGGCTCCGGTTGTGGGGGACCCTTACAGGAAATTAAGTCATGGTCAGAAGAGAATCATTGGGCAACGGACAATACTAATTGCGGGGGTATCGGTTTTGGGTGAGCCCATATCGGTGTTTGATGGTAGTATTGATGTCGACTTCGATAAATCAAAGGAAGGACCGATTTATCAGGGGTGGTTCCCTTTTATGAACTGGGGACGGTGCTCCAAATCTATCCAAAGTTGACATTAGGTGAGACGCACGAATCGGGATTTTGGTGGCAATGAAGGTGCGAGTTTGTTCACTTGACATGCTTCATACAAACAATCAGGCATCCACCACCACCTGCCAATCTTACTCTGTAGGAACACAGTTCATCATCCAGACACCTTCTCTTGTGGCATGATTGGCCTCAACAATGCAATTAGCTTGCCTCATTCCTGTACCAGACTTGCTAAGCTCAGATTGAGCAAGAGCTGCTAGCTGAAGAAAGTGACCCGATGGGCTAGCGAGGCATTTGGCTAAATAACGGGACGTGGATGAGTTGAATGAGTTGGCATTGGCTCATCGCAAAGCTATCCTACAAATGATCTGGATTACAGGCTTTTAGGGAGCCAATCCAACACCTCAGATGTTATAGTCAGCCAGTCGGCAATTCGAAATCAGCTACCAACAGTGACGAGGGGCGTGGTGTTGGAGTGTTGCAACGATGAAGCTTGATGAGGAGGCAAGTTCGACCTATAACATTGTGCTTGCCCCAGTCACTCGCAAATACATCCCTTCAATCGAACATTCAAAGTGACGGAAATGACCTGGCCTGGTCAGAACGAATCGGGCTTGACGCGTCCTGCTGATTCCCAATCTTAGAGCTGGAATTCAAGCTTGCAATGCACGAGCAATATCTCATCAACCTTTCTTGGTGTCTCCTGCGAAACTTCAGTGGGTGGTTCCCAGGTGGCTTCCCTTCAAGCCAAGCCCAAAAAGTCTACCCTCAACCTAAAGACGGTGGCTTTAAGCATCACTTTGTTTGCCAAGACAAATGATTTGCCCCCACCCATTCAAAATAAAGTACCCACAAAAGACACCCAGGTGGGTTTGTCTCAGAATAAAGACCCCCACAATGGCGACGTTCCTTGTTATGTCTCCTTAAACCAACCTGATAAGGGTACCCTCCAAAAAAACAAGCACCCTGTTGTCCCCAACCATGTTCAGAAACACCGCCACTCCCAGCCTTTCGCCAAAATAATGTTCGCAGGTTCGGCTCCGGCAGCATGCACGGGAGCGTGAGGCCATCCGCTCGGATTGCAACTCCCAAAACCTATCCCAAAGGGCCACTAGTACTCAGCCCAAACCCGACCTTTTGAACCTTTGGGGCTTTCCCAGTTTGGTCAACGTTTAGCAAAGGTCCCAAAAGGTGAATCCTTTATTTCCAGGTCCTTTGGGCAAGGGAGAGTAGGTTCGGTTCCTACCTGGTTTCATGTGGGTTGTAAGGCGTATACAGTTGGTGGAACCTAAAGTCAATGCGGTACTGCGGTTTTGCATTTGTCCTGGATGTAAAAACAACTTGAAGACGATCAGGTAACGTCCTTAGCCTATGCCACCAACCTTTTCTGAAAACAACCACGGAAGAGGACAGGCCATTTCAAGAGGACTGTCTTCCAAGACCCTCCTGCAAAGTGTTCAAAGTGTGTTGCAAAGAGGGTAACTCAGCAGATGTAAATCCTAAGCCCTAAGCCATGCAAAACTTCAAACAATGGCAGATATGTTTGTAGTCCATACTGGAAAGTGCGGTCAGTGCAAGTTGTCATACTCAAAAGATCCCAAGCTGTTTTGGCTGAATCAAGCCATTGGACGAACCTTCAAGCTCGCACACACATACGCTTGTAGTCCAGCCATGGGTGGTTGCGAGAGCAAGGCGACTACCCAGAATGAGATTCAGATGGACCTGGCGAGACATTCGAGCGTGAATGGGCTGGAGCTGACCACCAAGGAGCGAATGGGCTGGATCCGTGACATTCCGGACCATCGCGACCTCCACATGACCTTTCCCAGCAAGGAAGCCCCCAAGGAGATCCAGAAGAAGGTCGAAGGCAAGAAGGAGATTTGCGATTTGAGGCCGCTCAACGGTGGCTTCAAAATCTTCAATCAAGGGCACTTGGGCAGCTGCACGGCAAACGCCTTGGCAGCGGCCTACCACTTCACCCTTCACAAGCAGACGGTAGAGAACCATGCGGACTTCGCGGACTTCACCCCTTCGCGCCTTTTCATCTACTACAACGAGAGGTACTGTGAGGGCAGCGTCAACCAAGATGCCGGCGCCATGCTTCGTGACGGCATCAAGGTCATGGAGAAGTTGGGTGTTTGCCCGGAGAAGTTGTGGCACTACGATGACACGAAAGACTTCTTCAAGAAGCAGCCGGACAAGAACTGCTACGATGTGGCCCAGAAGTGCAAGGTGAAGGCCTACGCCCATGTGGCCCAAGATTTGGACCAGATGAAGGCCTGCATCAAGCATGGTTATCCCTTCGTCTTTGGCTTTACTGTCCTGACCAGCTTCTCGGGTGATGTGGCCAGGACGGGCAAGATGGTGATGCCCCAGCCCGGCGACCGCGCAAGGGGTGGCCATGCCGTATGCGCTGTGGGCTACGACGACTTCCAGCAGTGCTTCATTGTCCGCAACTCGTGGGGCGAGGATTGGGGCGACAAGGGCTATTTCTACATGCCCTACGAGTACATCTGCAAGGAGAACCTGGCCCAGGACTTCTGGGCAATCAACTGGGTGGAGGCCTTCAAGAATGCCGCGCCCAAGAAGTGAGAGGGATCTCTTTGGCAACTATTCTACTGTGCAGCTTCCCAAAAGGGATTGGCAGCTCTTGGGTTTGCGGTTCTTCCTATTCGGTCTTTTTCGGCTGCGGGGCGTCGCTGGAAGCGTGCCCCTCACCCATTCTGAGCTTTGGTTGTAGCTCTTGCAACCTCTGCAGGCGGACCGCGCACATCCCATCCATTTTGCTAGAAGCCATTTTGCGTCACTTCACCTTGGCGCCCGGACAAAAACTGCCATGTCGTGACCGCATCTTTGGATAGATCAACACGAAAAGGTGAGCTCACCTGAAATTACAACAAGCTCGAAATGGAGAGGTCCGGGGATCCCTTATTCTTTCCATTTGCTTAAAAATGTGTGGTGCTGTTTTCACCTGTGTTTTTCAGGCACCCAGCACTAATATGACTATATATATATATACTGGACATATGTGTCATGCTTGTCCAGGGGACTCAAGCACATGGAGGATTTTGGGTGTTCGAAACAATTTGCAGATAGATGCCAACCATGTTTACCTGAGCCTGGCTTTTTTGCTTCTTGGGTGATTTCGCGTCTGTAGTTGTTGTTTGTTTGGCGAGACCCCAGCATTCTTTTGTGGTATTCCGAAGCGTGGCCAGCGGTTGGCTACGCTCACAAACTTGTGATGGCAGCCATGATGGACATTGAATAGAAAGATGCGCTATATTTCTTTCTTTGTGTCATGAATGCGTGTCTCATATGTTTCATTGAGGGTCATTTCTCATGTTGGATTGGTTTTAAGGGGAACCAGGGTACATCAACCAGTTTGATTCTTTTTGAGGGTTCCCCTTAGAGACCAACTCAGATCCATCCAGGCAAAGCAGCGAAGTCCGACCGGAACCCGTCAGGCCGGAGAGTTGCAACGGAATTGCACCATACTTGCGGCTAGCAAAAACCACGAAACCGCAATCTGGGTGTGGTTGTGTTTTTGCTGGCACCCCTTTTTGGGGGCTGAATAGGGAAGCCGAAGGAAAACCAAGCACCATGTTGGTGGTCCAAGTTTCGGTTTGACAACATACCCTGGCAATCTGGCTGTGACCCACACATGCAGCTTAAGATGGTGTGGTGGCAAGCGTGTCAGCGGGCAGACGCCTCGCATTTGAGTTCAGAAAAAAGCAAGAATGCATGAAATCAGAGAGTCAAGAACCCGCGAGGCGAAGTGCATAAAACCAACCTGAAGCTTAAGCTGACGAGCGCTCGCCAGGCATGCAGGCCGACATTGCAGACCAGAAGAGGACTCGTTGACCTGTTGACCCTGGATTAATCCATCTGGTGGCTTGACAGGGATGTTGTCATGCCTGAGACTGGGACACCCCCCTGTTGATCAACCAGAGGTTCTGCGGATTCCTGGCATCACATGTTTCGCTAAAGCCGTCAAGAGCTGAACCCTCAGTTGCCATCTCGGGTCATGGCATTCAAGAATTTGTGCGGAGCACCCTCAAAAATGGCTGGTGAACGTAAATTCCCATGTCAATCTATGGTTGATGTCCCCCAACATAGTTGTTTGGTGTGTCCGAAAATCGGAAATGAACCCCTTTTGGACAGCCTCTGTTAAACACTCGTATTGATCTCACTTGTCCAAAACTGAATGTTCAAACTTTTGAACTTTTATGTGTTGCTTTCGTTTTGTGGTTCGTTGGCTGGACCCAATTTGAATGCTTAAAGTTGTTCGTCCTGGGACTTGAACCGTTGAACCGATTGGTGATTGAACAGATGCGATCCCGTTTGGGACATTGCTCAGTCGTGTTGTGTGTTCATGTGTGTTCCTTTGTTGGGCGGGGTCCCCTGTGAAGTCAAGTCGTACCAAGAAAGGTTCAACCACCCTTTCTCATGGCGCTTGCTGGCCAGTTGGCAGCTTCAATCTCTCTTTGCTTACTCTCCATGCCATTCTTCCCACCATTGGTGTGTGGTGTGTGTGTGTGTGTGGGTGGGTGCGAAACAAACAAGCAAGCAAGCAAACAAACAAACAAACAAACAAACACCATGATGGTTGTCCGTTTGGTTGCCCAGACACAGACAGACACGGAGACACACAGGCACACACACACACAAGTTATGCTTCACTATCAGAGTCAGTACACAGAATTGTCAGGAGGTGCCTCTCCAGAGAGGAAGATGACAAGTGAGAAGCAGTGCAAGCGCTGAAATCCAGCGGTTTCAATCCTGCCGTTGTTGAGGGCCTTCTGCTCTTGTTTGTTCGGTTGTTTGATCAACTTCTTGTTGACACTGACATGTTGGTCTGACATGACAAATTACGTCAGAACCCAGAGGCTTCAGGTCAACGAGATGTCGGTCGCAGAGATATGGCAGGGCTGTGACCTTTGGTGAATTCGCGAATTTCATTGGTTGTTTGCAGCTGTGCTTTGCAGCTGTGCATTGCAAGCGTGGGGTATCCAGTGGCGAAGATAAAGAGGGGCAGTTCGGTCATGCATCATGCCAGGGGTTTCCTGCAAACCGCTACTCCCGGAGGAAACTTGGCGAAATATGATGTCTATAGTCTATAACATATCCTGAGCAAACATAGCGATGATCGGCGTCCTGAGGGCAGCCTGCCGAAAGGCCCACATTGGTAAGGGTCAGCTCGAGCATTCGGGCACTGAGATCTTTTCGTTGGAGTCCTGCCCTCCAGGTACTCAGGCCAAGCCATCTTTGACCGTGGAGAAGGCGGGAGGACACTTTCTGCCCAGCGTAGTGGGTTTGTCTCTAAATGAGATATGGACATGGAGCCTACAAAATGGGAGATGCCCCATGTGTTTTTTTGAAACCCCAAAAATGGAAAGGATTTGCAGCTTGGCCGGCTGTCTAGCGACATGTCCATGTTGACTAGTTCGAGTTGCTAGGTTCCCCTCGTTCCCGGAGGTGACACGTACCTTGTCCATAGGTTGGGTCGTCTTGAGTCCATCATCCACCGCGCTTTACTCCAAGTCTGAACTCTTTTGAGCTTTTGTTGGAAGCCCTTGGAAAACTACGTTGATGAAAGGAGAGAGGAACTCATTGCCTTGTTGGACAGCAGGGTCGGTTTAGTTTCCCAAAAATATATGGCAAAGCGAAACGTGGCCAAATTTCTGGAAGACAAGCGACCGCAGCTCTGGAGGTCATGGAAGTTGCTTTGGCAAACGTTGCCGCTCATCAAGGGTGCGGGAGCCGAGGGGAGTGGGCGACTTGTTTCAGCAAACTTGGTCGACTCACGGTTGCTCTGTTTCAGCAGGACCCTCCGAAACCCCACACCCATGTGAGCGTCTGATCGGTCCATATAGATCAAGCATAGCATTGGCTGGGAGCCCCAGTGCATTCGGGTATTGTCGTAGAAACCGACTGCTCTCGCACGAGTCTGAGCCAGGGTCCCTATATTTATCTTTATGGTGGGTGGTCTTGGACATCACCTTGTTGGGCCCATTTAAGGTGAGTTTCCCTTGCTAGGGGATGCTTTGAGCAGAAATACACGGAACCCTGCAACGAGTGTGTGTGTGTGTGTGTGTCCCTGTGCAGTGAAAACGTTCAGCTCATTCCAAGAGGGGAAGGTGGCAACGCGATATAAATTCGAGGCGTCACATTTTGGAAACAAACTAGAAGAGTTAAGAACTGGGCACAAGAACAAAGATGCTTTCTCCATTGCCAAACTCAACTCGCCGTTTTGCCCTTTGCCCGTGGGTTTTCTTCATTTGTCCTTTTGGACCGGCAAAAAGTCAACGTTGTGCACGGGGGTCTAAATAGGTTTGGCCCGCAGTAGCCTCTAGGAGAGCTGATGTCCACACACCCGTCCGAATTCCCAACGGCAGGGTGCGCGCGCATCGGAACGTGCCCACGCCGATGAGGCCGGGAATTTGTGAGGGTGCAAAGAGTTGAGGGGAAACTGGGTCAACGTTTGAATACATTTCACATGCTACTACAGTAGGTGACTAACAGCAACTCAAACAAAAACATATTCAGAATTCATATGCCTTTGATTACAGAACCTGATTCCAATGTTGGAAAGGGTTTCTTTGTTTCTACCAGAGTAGCTGCAACTGAGAAGCCTCGTGGAGGGTGGCAAGTCCTGCTTCACTGCAAGTCGCCGAAACCTTGTGAATCACAGACAGAGTCTGGGTGGCTCTCAGCATTGCTCTCCGCGCTTTCGATAGATTTAACCCACGCCGCAACGTCGCCAATCAAAGCATCAAGAGCAAGGCATGCTTGCCTTAGAGTGCATGTGGCTGACATGCTGCAAAGATGCGTGATCTAGTGGACTTGTTCAGTTTTGCAGCCTGCATGTGACACCGCGCCCACCGTATATAAGGAACCATTCTGGGTTCAAATTGATCAGCCCCAAGATTTGGAATGCCTTGTTGAGGTGCAGACCGCAGCAAAAGCCCCTGAGCCTTCAGCGGGATCGGAAGCCAGAGATTTGGCTACCGCCGCCCAAGGAGTACGGTTCGCCATGTCGAATGACTGGTCCCTTTAAACCAAGCTGGACATGGATACCCTCAAAAACCAACCGGCCCATAAGTGTTGCTGTGTGTGTTTTAGGCTTGGTACCCCTTGTTGGGGTGTTTTGAATGGGAAACCAAAGGGAGAACAACAAGTTTGGGAGTCCCCTAGTTTAAACCTTAGCCGCCAAGACTTACCAAATATGGAAGCGTCCTTTTCCGAAAGGTGGTCTGTCGGGGCATGTGGATTTGGACACCGACCACCTTTAAACCTTCGGCTTGGGTTTTGGACCCGTATGGATTTCGGAGTTCCTTTTGGTTTCCTTAGCCACACCCCAAAAGTGTACCCTCAAAAGGCAAACTCCCAGTTTTTGGGCCCATTGTTAGTCAAGGGTCCCAAAGCTCAAGCTTTTGTTTCCGGGTCGCATGAGCGGTGAGTGGTCGGTAAGTTCTCCAAGAAACAAGCTCCAAAGACCTGCCAAAATCCAGGTTTTGGGCGAACTTCCTAGAGGATTTCCTGGAGATGGGTTCTTAGATATTCACCATCATTTGTACTAGAAAATGCCAAAACCAGACCTCAGTTGTTCAGTGGCACCCTTTTTCCCGTTTTTGGTGCTGCCCCACTAAAAATTGTCTTCCCAAAAAAGGTTTCCCTTTTTTCCAGGGTCACTGAACAACTCGATGTCATGGGACATGAAATGTGGTCCAGCTCGTACCCATGGTGACATGTGGGTGGGTGTCCTCAAGTGGCAGAGAATCCAACTGGGGTAATTGCAACCCTTTGAGTGCACCCTCAGTACATGTGAGCAGCGCCCAAGGCTTTTGATTGTGTAGTGGATTGGAAAATTAAGGACGACTTTGCCTTTCACCCTAAACCCTAAACCCAAAACCCTCAATCAGCTGGGTGCTATTCTGCAGGCACAACTTGTGACTCTACATCAATTCTGGGAGCGTATGAAATGTATGATTTCACACATGAGACAGACCTGGCTTTCACTCTCGCTATCAGGGCCCAAAGCCCCTATTAGCTACTTTAAAAGGTGGTTCCACTGCCAAGTATCATTGGATCAAGTAAACCTCAAGCCTGGTATTCTCGAGATGTGATAGTCCCTGGGCTCTCGGAATGTTCAGGGATTTTGCTCACTAGTATACCAGGGCACCGTGACCCAAGTGAAGAATATTCTTAACATGGATGTTTGTTTTCCTCAAAAGTGGTACTGTGGATGCATCAGTTGGCGGCTCAACCAGTATTCATTGGGGTTCATCATGATTGCCTTTCCACTTCCGTGCGGGTGGACAAAATCCGTTTGGCACCATTTGGTAGGTGGCTTGTGATGTGTACTGCTTCATCCATCCCGACTGGTGCAGGGTTTTGTCCATGCACCGAAAATCCTGCACCAGCTGCAGGACATGAAGCCAGAGATGAGTAAGCCGCTGCCGAAGGAAGGCTTATCAAAGGACCAGACACGGTTGAAGCAAATCGTAGCCTGGCGATCGCTCGTTCAAACCTCACGTTCCAAGTTCTGAATTGTTTAATTCCTTGTCCTTGTGCCGTGGCTGGGGGGCACACCGAAAAGTGGAATCGTGAAGAAGCAAGAAACAAGTCCGGATTTGCACCATGGCCTCACCTCAGCTCAGTGTCTCAGGGCGATACCTGTAGCCATTCTACTCCGGCTGAGGAGTTGGAGCCGCCGAAAGTCAAGAGGCTGGGAGCCTCCTGGTCTGTGTCGAAATAGGGAACCCCGGTTTGAATGTTTTTAAAGGGGCCAAAAGGAAAGCACCTCCCGAAAGTTGAGAAACCGCACAAGAGCCTTTTGGCCTATTTCTTGGCGAGCAGATCCAGGGAGGGAGGGAGGGAGGGGGCGGGGGTGTTAAAACGAGCTCACCATGATATAGCTCCTGTGCTTGGGGATGCCTTATTTTAGATGTTGGATTTTTTGTAGTCACTGGGCATCCCCAATAAAATTTCTAACATGGCCATGAATGTGAATGCGAAACCTCCTCCAGAACGGTTGCTGGACATGAATCGTCATGCAAATGATGTCCACCAAAGGAGCCCCGATTAGAATTCATTCCCGCATGTGTGGCGTAGCTTAGGAAACTCCTGGCCTAGTCAGGAATACCAATTTGGGAATTTCGTTGGACATGATCTGGTGCTGGCCAGACTCATCGAGCTGCCACGGAAATAATCGCAAATGCCAAGTCCACTATGATCATCCAGGCTAATACTGAGTCTCGGCGAAGATGCCGTCATTCTTCATGATGATGTCAATGGAATCATCGCTATTGCTTTCCGGTTTCATTTGTTCACTCCCTCATTCCCAGATCAGCAAGTTGCCGCCTTTTTGGTCGTAATTCGCGGGATGCATGGTTGATTCGGATAGTCAAAGCCCGTTGCCTCGTCTGTCTCTTATCTGATATACCTGCATGTGTTTTTCAAGTGTAGTTTCATGGCGATCCCAAACATTTTCCTAAAGCCCCCAGGAAATTCCCTGACATTTCCGAAAGGCAGTCAACAAGCCACTCAAATACCAGCGGTTAGGAACGAATCCCCTTGTTGGGCAACAGTGAAGATGGCCATCGCTCTCTGGCGGTTTGGGGATCGGAGTTCAGAGTGAGGCGGCCTGGGCTGGACCTGGACCGAAGCGAGAGCCCTAGCCCTTTGCGGCGCCGGCACCCCAACTTCGCCAAGCGCCGGAGGCGCGCTGGTTGCGTGGGCCCACCAAAGAGGAAACCGGGGGGGGTTACCCATTCACCCAGCAAACACCCATGTCAGGTGGCTGTGTTTCTTTAAGGCTAGGTACCCTTTTCTGGTTCTAAAGGGAAAGGACAAGAACAACCGGGGTCCCTATTTTGACACTTTACACCTATTTGTCAGGTGTGCTCCCAGACCCAAGACCAAGATAGGGAGGATTACCTCATTCTTCTGCTGAGAATCAGCAAGTTGACCAAACTGCAAGGGCAAAATTTAGTATGGGGATGCTGGTGTTTTCCTTTACATGGTATTCTATCTACCCTTTTGCCGATAAATTCAGAGCAGCTCTGCTTGTTTGTACAAAAGACACCATGGGATCCTTAGATTTTCCTGGTAGGGGTTAGTAAAAGAGCACCTGTTGGGTAAAAGCGAGAGAATGATGAGGCTCCCTGAACCATTAAAAGGGAACCAGCCAGGAGTTTTAGACGAACTGTTTTGGGGGCCTCGGGGGGGGGGGCGAAGCACCATGAAATACAAGCATGCTACTTCAACGGAAATTGCAGCAACTGCCTTGTGGATGTCTCTATATCCAGCATATGTTTGACATTGTTCGAGCATATGTTTAACAAACCTTGCATAGTTCCAGCATATACCTAGCCTGTGCCTAGCATACGTCTACTAAGTCTAGCATACATTGAGCATGTGGTCGCATATTTATAGCCTCATACCCAACCGTGTAGTTTACAACATGCGCAGTGCATGTCTAGACGTCTGAGAATATGCCCAGCGTGGTTACTGCACATCCGATTGTTTGTATGTATGATGTATATGCCCAGCGTTAGCCTTGCATCTTCCTATCATATGTCTAGTATATATCTAGCATGCACTTAATGTATATAGTTCATTCTATTGTCCAGATATTGTCATCTTACTTCAACAGCAAATCTATACACCGTGTCTCAAGCACGGTTCTGAACATAGTTGCAGTGTATGATTCATTTGTTCTACCACTTGTCAGCTAACCCACTTGTCTACGGATTGTCTAGCTGCATTATGCTGTGCATGTGTTTTAGCACAAACGTGTGTGTGGTATGTTCGCATCATTCGGCAAATATATTGCGAGCGTCATACATCTATCATATGTCTGGCGCATTGCGAAACTCTTTTAACGCACAATTGTTTAGCAGTGCTGTTTGAGTGCAAAAAGCTGAACACCAAGCAAAACAGAATCCAAAGGTGCACACCCCATTAGGCTGAGTACATACAGGTCTGCCATTATTTCCGCAAAATAGCCCGATGCACAGTTGCAAGGCGAAAAAAACTATGTAAACAACCCCCCCCATAGGGGGCCTTTCGTATTGAAACATTTGATGGACCAGTTTGCAAATAAGTTCCCTTGTGGAAATATGATATTTGAAGGGACATACACAGACCCTTGAACTATTCAAAGGGAAGCCCAAATCAAAGGAGTTTTGGACATGTTTGCTAAAGCGTGTAGTACCCTTTTCGGCGATTATGAAGTTGTTGCTGGCTACATAGTTTTGAAGTAAGCTCTCTTTGGAAAGGTGAAGTTGATGAGGAGCCACAAGGAGTCTTAGACGTTCGTCAAAATCCATTTCACAGCCTGGCCCACACAATAGTGGCTAAACATATTTGACCATAGCGGCTATTCGGCAATGGGCAAATCGGGGCCAGGGACTCTGAGTTTGGAACTGTGGGTTGTCCTCCCCTGCTCATCCCTAAGCAAACAGCAGGTGCTGTCAGTTGCTGAAATTGGGCGTTTGTCAAAACAGGGATTCCCTAAAATGGTTGCTTCGCTTTAAACGCCAAACACAAGGGGTCCGAACCCCGTTTTGAGAAACTCCGATATGGTGCAGACTTCCCGTGCCAGCCCCTGCGTTGTGGGTGGTCTGGAGAGTATTCCTTCAGAATGGTTGGAAGTTCCCCCTAAGGAAGCCACCATTTGTAAGTGGCTGTTTCAGGGTCGAGATTGTTCAATCAATGGTGGCTTCAACATTTGCAAGATGGCTTGCATTTGCATGACCTTGAGAAAGACCCCGAAGACGGATACAAAAACAACTACTGTCCCATTCCTTTACATGAAGCCAAAAGGAGTTGGGGTTGAACACTATTTGTTGGTCACTATTTGCTGATTTTGGTTGGTTGTTTGGTCAAGATAGAAGGTTGTTGAAAACCTGTCAAAGCAACAGGGTAAGTGCCTTCCATTTTACGGTGTTTCCAAAAGAGGCATGGCCTCCTTGTTTGAGGGGGTAAACAAGCTTGCGCAAAAAAGGATGGGTTCCATGATTTGTGATGCTTTCAGGATGACGTCCGCTTCACGTCTCGCAAGTTGACACCCCACATTGCAGGCAGGTGGCCAGCGCAGTGGCGGCTGCCAGCGCCGCGGTGGAGCGGGCCGGGCTACGCTGGGTGGGTGACGGCTGTGGGAAGGGGGTAGTGTTTTGCGGGGAGTTTGAGGCGTTTGTGACTGGGTCTTTTGAACTTTTGGAAGGGAGGCCTTTGCTGTCGCTTGAAATGGTTTGAAGGGAATCCAAAAGGGAAACCAAATGTAAATCTCTAGATTTCTGGTGGTTGCTTAAAAGGGAGACAGGCCGCAAAGGGAAGACTACAGCCCAGGGAAGGGTTCCTCGGAAAACCGTCCTTCTGGAAACAAACCCAAGCCAACTATGTCGAGGGGAACCCCTGTTTGGGGTTGCTTTGAAGGGAAACTAAGGAAACCACTCTTTTCATTGCTTAATTTAGTTTCCATCGGTGGTCGCCCCCCTCTTGCCCCTCTTCTTGGCTATTTTTGGCGTGTGTGTTTGTCTCTCAATGAGGAATTCAAAAGAGACAAGGGCGGTATCATTTCGAATAGTCATTTGAACCGCCCCTCAAAGGGCACCGCCTATTCTTTCTATGGAGTTGTCAAGAGGTGGTGTCCCAAAGAGTTACCTTGTTTGCAGGTTACCGTCTTTGCAGGGTCTTGTTGGGAGGTTTTGTTGTGTAGAGGCAAAAACACCCGTCTTTGAGATTGGGCCTGGGCTTAGTTCTTTGGGGGACTCCTTGTTCAATGCTTAAGCTACAGGGTGTTGAGTTGAGAGTTGGAACCTGAATCAGCTGATCGTCCTGAGTGGGTGCGTTGCGCATGAATGTGGGCCGTACACAAAATGGGTTGTCTGGGTCATCCTTTGTAATTTGGCCTTTCTGTTTTAACAAGAACGCAACTGTCCAATGCGTACAGGTTGGGTTGGTGGTGTGCTGTCAGCGTCAGCCCGACATGGTTTGTCTCAGAACTAAAGGACTGGTTTCCATGGGGCTTTCCTTAAAAGACCAACCAAAGGGGTTCTCAAACGAAGACGCGTGCCTTTCTGCGAGATCTGAGGGAAGTGTTTCGCTGCCAGGCCACGGCAAAGCACATACGGTGAGATGCGAAGGCCACCCTAGGCGAGACGCAGACTTGCCGATCTGAGATCGCTGCGGGAGGGTTTGAGTCTTCCTTCTAGGGCCTTGGCCATGTGGACATGCTGAGATGCCCAGAAATCGAAGGTTCTGGGATGTTTTGGGCTATGCCAAATTCATGCAACTGCCAGTGCCTTCAACAAGCCTTGGGAAATTCAGAAAAGGCAAAGCCCGACTTGGGTGAGATTGAGCAAGTCCAAGCATCCTTCCAATCAAAAACCAGGGCTTGATGGGTATGAAGGCCGAAAGGCGCACCCTGTTTTGAGCTGGTCGCTGGAGTCTGAGCAGCTGGCCTTGGAAACTGCCACAGACATGAGTCACGGTCAAGATATGCCGCGATCATGGGAGTCTCCTGGTTTGTTGCGGGAAATCAAGTCATTCATGCTCCTCACAGCAATACCAGATGCTTCCGCATATGTTGACCGAGCCTCATATCATGCAACGTGCCTCAAGCAACAGGGCAGAGCAAGTGAATTCAGTGCATGGTAGAGGGACGATTCGCGCGGCCGTGACAGATGGGCTCAGATGGGCTATCAAAATTGGGGGAGCCCCCAAAATGGACAGCTTCCCTTCAGTGTGCCTTCAAGCCAACCAAAATATGGAGTACCCTAAAAGCAAACACACACACACAGATGAATCGGGGCTTGCCAAGAACGGGGCCGGCCATAGAAAACACATTGCTTTCACCAACTGCCCAGCAGGAAAAGACCGACTCTTGTGCATGTCCTTTGACCCCGGAACCATTTGGGCTCATGTTGTAGAATTGGCACGCTTTTAGGGGTCGGTAAGGGGAACGAAAAGGACAACCGATATCCACAATGGGGGTCCGCATTCGTATTTGGCACAGACCCATTTGCTTCTAGCACTTCACTGCGTGCAGTCCCAGAAAACATACTCATCAGTCCATACGTATATGTGGGAGACATCGAAGCAACATGTTTTGCTTGGGCCAACTGTCGTGCGATCCATTTGCATGGTCATCCATTCGCGCTTCGCTTACCTGCTGCTTCTCAAGGTGCCTCGTGTCTTATTGCGGCTCGCATTCATCAAGAGCGCTGAAGTGATCTGATTGGATGCGCCTGACAGTCAAGAAGCGAAGAAACAGTATTGAAATGACTGGGGGTGCCACTAATGACGGCATCGTGCAATCCCTGTGAAGCCGTATGCAGTCTTGCTTGCGACTTGATTGATCCTACTTGTAGCAGGGTAGATTCTGTTGCTGCAGCGGTTTGCAGAAGGTTGCGCGTCTTCTACGTATGAACACCGTCGCAGACTGATGCATAGTTGTGCACAGATTAGAGTGAGCTCACCTGGGGTAGAACGAGAGCAACCATGAACCTATGAAGGTTCCTGACTCAGCTACCCTTTTCCAACAATCATGAAAGCAGACAAGAAGGTGTGGGAAAACACTTTCCTGTTTTGGGGACCTGCCTTTCCACTCATTCGTGACTCAATATCGGGTAATTAGCGCAGAAAACAAATCCGAGTGTGCATTTGGATTATCCTGTGCCGATGGATGCAGTCCATTGCAACCTTCGCTGCGGGGGTTTTCACTGGGCAAAGCCTGAGCAGCTGTCATGCGAGCCTGCCCCAGTGCACTCTCCATGAGGAGTGTTGTTCCAGCGGGGTGTCCCCGTTTAGATTTGCATTCATCCGGACTCAACATTAGGAGGTGTGCATTTGTCGTCTTTTTCCAGTTGCAGCAAGAACGAAGCAGTGTTTCTGGGGAGTGACAGATGGGTGTGTTGTTTGTTGAGAGTAGGGCCCCCACCAAAATGACGATGTTGCAACCCAACAGAAGTGTCCTGCAAAAAAGACGCCTAAGTCGGTATTTTTCCAGAGATGAGTCATGATTTGGGGTGTTTGTTCAGGAGGGGAAACGATGTATATACTTCCGCCCGACAGGGAGAACGGATTAGCGACCGCCCACATTGTCAAACCATGCACAGCACCCACAAACTGCGCAGTCAAGACCGCAAAGCTTTATCTCCAGAAGAGACATTAGGACTCCCGGACCCACTAGAAAGGTTCCTAGAACCCTTGTTGGTTTTGCTCCAAGGTTTGAGCGTGGCACGTGCAGGTTTGTTTTTCAAGGTTGGGCCTTGTTTTAAAGAGAAGCCAGAGGAAAACCGCACCATGTGTTTTGAGGTTCCCTGTTAGAGACAAAGTTACGCCAGGTATGCATTCTACCTCACAAGGAGCATCCATAGAACTGGCTTTCCTTCGGGCAGGAAAGGGGCTTCCTTAAAGGCCTTAAAGCTTGTCATGTGAGGGTTGTTCAAACTTGAGCCCTGCCTTTGTTTGAATCTTTTTGTGAGCCTTATTTAAACGGCACAAAATAGGAGGACACTGCAAATGCACCAGAATAAAATCAAACCAAGCCTGGCCTTTTGGAACAACCCGCACCCGCAAATCCCATGATCCTGTTTCCGCACAAGGAATATTTTTCAATGGGGCAGGCAGCTTGATGGTGTGCTATTGGTCCGTGTCAGAGGGAAAGGGAGACCAACCACCTGGTTTACACTTGGTCACATCATCGGTCAAGAAACCCCCGTGTGGTGTGTCTTTTCAAGTGTCCAACTCTGGCCCCCAGCTCACACCGCCTAACTAAAAGGACACCAAGCACCTGGAGGGTGTCCCTTTTTCAATCATGCAGTCAGAAAACGGTTTGAATGGAGCTGTGTAGATAGTCACCTGGGATCTCTTGATGTCTTAAAGATTCACTGTGGGCCAGGATAAAGATCAAGTTTTTGTTTAGGGCGGCAACAAAAGCTGAGTGCTGACAGCAAAGGTCGAGAAATGGAGGTCAAACAATGGCTTGTAAAATGGGCGGCCAACACATTGGTCTCTAGTGACCCTAGTGTTGAAAGGCTGAGGTCTTAGAATGCCCTGCTGGTCCCTTGGTCCCCTGTTCACTCAAGATCTCCACCAGTAACCCACCAGGGGTCCCTAAAGGAAATCCAAAAGGGCGATGCGTAGCTTTGCCATTTTTTGGAACCCTTGTTGTTTGCGAGTGTACACTTTTCAGGTTGGTCAAAAAGGAGTGAAACCATTGCCACGTGGGATGTGTTGTTCGTAAAGCTTTTCGTCCATCCAATTCCGTGACCAAGCCCTGGCCTGATGTATCGCAAACTGGGCCCCAGAGACCAAAAGACGTGAACGGGGTCGCCGTCAAGGGGATCCAGGGTCCATGGGAAGTGATTTGAGTCCTGAAAGAAGCGGAGCCACCGTTGACAACGACCTCAAAGGGGAATTAATTACCCAACGGCACAGACTTTGGACAGGAGAGCTACCGCCTGCAGCTGCACCTCGTGGGCGCCCAACTGGCCTTGGCGGATGACTTCTGGTCCCGGCAACGGCCGCAGCTCATTGCGACGCTGGGAACCTGCGAGAAGCGCACGGAGACTTGACGCACTAAAAAATGAGCAGAACCAAAGAGACGAACCACCCACCAAATATAATGAGAACCAGTAAGCTAAGCAACTGACAATGATCAGAACCAATAAGCATCAATCAGCTAGACAACTAATCAGAATCATGCCAAGGATGATCAACAACCAACAAGCACGAAAAACAAACTCCAAAAACACCCAGAAACAATCAGCCACCAGCAACGACTAAACTTACCCACCAATCACAAACATCTGCTTTTGGGTGACTCCCCATTTTGGCCAGGGGAACGTGAGAGGTGTTCTTATGGCTGCCCTGATTTTTTGAATTTGTAGTGAGACTGAGGCCAATCCGACGCGATGCCTCAATGTCGATAGTCGGGATGCAGGTCATGGGCCATGCGTCGTATCAACATGTGGCAAACTTGCAAGTGTTGCTGCTTTGGTCAAGTGGTGGGCAACAGGGCATGGATTTAGGCGAAATTCCGAGCAATGCAACCTTGAAGCATTATTGGACTAGTATGAAGCTACTTGAAGAGACATGTTTTGGATGGCATAGCATTTGGTTCACACAGTCTTTAGATTGCATATGGGCGCAATTCGTTTTGCCCAGGTAGTCCCTTTGTTGGGGGGGATGAAGCAAGGAAGCCCAAACTGAAACCGCCCACGTTGATCCGTTTTCTCTTTGACCCCTTTCAGGGTTGGTTTAAAGGAAGCCAAAATTGAAAGCACCCGTTACTCTCTGATCTTCTGGTTTGGTTCACAAGGCTTCCAAGCTGAAATGAAACTCATTTTGATTTCGGAAGTTCCGTCTCCCATTTGACCAAAACCAGAGGACTTCGTAAGCCGAGGAGCCAGCGGTCTTCGATCCCGGCTCGGATTGCAACTGGCGCTTTGGGGACAAGCTCACCTTCGCGCTGCGGTTTCTCTCAGGAATCGGCTCCCTAACATGGCAAGGGTGTCCCCTTGCTTTTCCATTGGTTTCCCTAGAATGGTTGGTTTCCGATTGTGTCTCAAAATTTTGCTGTAAATACCAACTCAAAGGCGTCAACATCATCATTTTGCGAAACTTGCAAACCTTTTCACTGTGTGTGGTTTTGAGAGTTCCCTTTTCGCCTTGATTGAAAACGAAACCAAAAAGGGAAAACCACACTTGTTTGGGGGTCCCCTATTTCGAGCTGTTGCGTTTGTTTTTCGTCTTTTTGGGTCTCCATCTGTCCTTTTCACCGGCAGCTTGTCAACTTTTTGCAGGGGGGTCTAAGTGGTTGCCCCCTTTGCCATTGTCCCGTTTGCCCTTTCGGGTTTCCAAATGTTTTGTGAGGATAAAGATGGTAAAACAAATACTCCAAGTTGTCCTTTTGGAATGTCGGTTGTTTGTTGGCTGTTTGTTGGAATGCCCCATTTTTTGAAGTACCCAACTCGGACTCACAATTTGCTGGGGGGTCAGTGCGCGCGAAATCCCAAGGTTGCGGGACTTGGGCTGCGGGCTGCGCCTGCGCCTGCAGGGCAAAAGGGACTTTCGTCTTGGACCCTGGCAGGCCATGCCGAGGGAGAGCCCAGAATATACGGGTGGCTTCAAATTGAAGGGACATTCATATACAGGTCCGTGAGATGAGTAAAAAGAGGGGAGCTTAGTTTGTGCGGTTTTGCCGTGGCCGTTTGCTATTGTGGGTCAGGCGGCCCATTTTTGAAGTTTTGAACTCTGTTCGGGACCCACTCGCCACGAGAAAGGGTTCCCAGAACCCTTCTTGGCGAAAACGGGGGGCCAACGCCTTGTTTAAACAAGTGCAAGTGTTTTTTTACTCCCCTATAAAAAGGACCAGGGTCCAGCTGTTTAAACCAATGCCCCCACCAGGTGGAGCTGGCACAATCGGCGGACCTGGGGGAGGGCCTGTTGGACCTGCAGAAGGCCCTGCAGCAATGCCGAAAGTCGGCCGAAAGCGAGTGGGAGTCGCCCCTCTTGCACATCCCGCGCCTCCGGCGAATTTGGCAAGAACTTTTCCCCTGACGCTTGGGTGCCAGTCCGTTGTTCAACTCATGTTTGGAAACGGATACCTCTTTAAAGCCGGCTACAAAAACAGTGCCAATTCCTTTTCCCCATGGCCGCTGGGGGTCTTTTGAAAGACAGGGGATGTAAACACCCACAAAACCTGTGGGCTTTACAACCCGCTTTGCAGCCGAGAAGCGGCCAAGAACAGGTTTCCATTTTGCGCAATTGCCGCGGTTTCCTCTGGGTAAATGGAAAAAACATCCTCATGTGTGCGGATGGTTCGCTCCCGTTCCGGGGCTTTCCGTGTCTGCAAAGCCTCGGCTGACCCATTAAATCGGAGTCCGTTCATTTGCGCGTCCGGATTTGTCCGATGTCATTCCTTGCTGTTTCCACCAAACACTTAACATTGGGTTTCCAACCCTGGCAATGCGGGAAGCACATTGATTGATTTTGCTTGCGGGCATGGTGGTAAGGGGCTTCCCACGAAAAGTAGTTTGTACCCCTAAAACAAATTGCTGGAACCCCGAGAAAGTAATTTGTGGAACCCGCAAGAGTAGTTACCCCTCAAAATGTGTCTTAACTCAAAGAGTCGGACGTCAACCCCGCCGAACTCCGGAGGCTTCTGAACCTGCAGGGTTCTGAGGAGTTCGCTGTCTTCGCGTTGGTGGTCCTCGAAGGGGACCTGCCGACGCTGCTGGAGCAGGACTCGATTCCCAAACAGGGAATCGCTTGGTCACGAAAGCATTCCCGATGTAACTGGAACGAATTGCACGGACGGATTGATCAGATTTAGAGCCTTTGGATTATCGCCTTTACGGCTCGGTTCGGGGGCAGGGTAAAACGAGGGTCCTCTCCAAGGGTGTTTGTTGATCCCATGCCGAGTTAATCCATGAAAGGAGGACACCTTGCCCGTGCACATACATTTCCCTCACCAGGAAGATGGAGAGGGTCAGAGAGCCTGGTTTTCTCACTCAGAAAGTCAGGCAGAGATGGCGGGGAAGTCGGTGGTGCAACGCGCGATGTATCCATGTGCCTGGACAGGAGGGAGCAGTCAAAGTCTGTGGGGTTTCCCAATGGGATGAATGAGGTATGGATCAGGGTAGTCGAATTCCAAAATGTCCAGAAGAACAACGCCAAACACTTTGCCGGTGGGAGCATCTGCAAGTTGGGCTCTGTTTTTGTAGTTTCCAGGATGGATGAAACTGTGAAACCCAGGAATACTAGGATCAACCACCAACCGAATGGAGCAATTGTTTGTCCATTCACAGAATGACCGTTCACCCATTTCATCTCAAAACACCCGGCTTTTTTGGACAGCCTCCAGGTTGCCAGTCAATCCTCCGGAGTTGCAAAGGGACCAAATTTTGGTCTCGCCTGATTCGCCCCGAATGCGCTGATGGACATGCGGTTTCCACATCCCAGTCCGAGAGTTTCATCCTTTCAACGGCGCAGAGCGGATTTTGGTCCGCCGTATCGCAGCATCTCAGCCATCTGAGGTGTTCAGTGCACGAGTTGTGCCTGTGAGGTGGCTGAGCCAGAGAGTGAGGCCGGTGACGTGGCTATGGATTTTAATGGTTGGAACCCCTTCACAGTGGTTGGTGGCGAAAGTCCCCATGCAAGTGTGTACCAAAGGATCCCCAATGGAAATTCATTCCACGTTTCCCATGTTTGGGTTGCTGAAATTGCACCTTGTAGTTGCCAAGTGTTGATGGGATGTCGATGTAAGGGAGGCACTCAACGAACCCTGTGGATGTCGCCCTCTCAGGCCTAAGGCTTGGGTAATTGCCAATCAGTTCGGCCGCCATAGGCCGCCTGTGTTCCTTGAGGTTTGGTGCGTGATGTTCCTGATTTGCTTTGGCCAGTGGCAGAGACACTGTCCTGCACATTCTGAAGTTCGCGTATCTCCGGGAATGGGCGCCCTAATAGTCATGGCCAAAAATGCAGCAGGTTCCATCACAGGCACCGAAAAGTGGGGGTCCCTCTGGGTGGTCCTCTTGATTTCCCCATTCAAAGCCATCTCAGAGGGAGGCTCCCTATTTTCAGACCCTCTTTTCAGCTTTTGAGCGGGTTCACTTGTTCTGGCCAGGCGCCCCCCGCCTCCGAGTACAGCACCTGTGAGGCTAGAGATGTGTTCATTCGCCGACCTGGTGATTGTGTGATTGTGTGTTTCCCTTGTGGGGCTTGAAGGGAAACGGGATCATGACTGAGCTGGTTGTAAAAGCAAACCAAAGGGGCGCCATGTGGCCATGGTTCAAAACCAATGGTACCATGTTGGGATAGGTGCACCATCCATGTTTGTCTATTTTAGTGGGGATTGGGGTACGTGACTGGGTTTTTGACCCATGGCCATGTGAAAGGCACCCTTCTGGAGCTTGCCTCATTTGAGACCGAATGGTAAAACATGTTTCATTGGCACCTCAAGTAGAAGCAACAATTGTGCCGAACGTGCAACATGTGGGACATATCATTATTGCCTTATTAGTTTGATTGTTATCCTGGGCAAGATGGCCGCCCCAAGCTGCAACGAAGAATTTGATGCAACACAAGGTAATTAGGGTGGTCATGATCTACTCTACATGTTTTAGGTTTCAGGGCAAGAAACGATCAAACTAGGCGAAGCGTGGAACCCAGATGCCATCTTGTTTCATGTGATTGGCACGTAGTTAGTTACCTTCATTTGTTGACAGCTTCTTTTGAACGTGTGCACTTCAAGATTTAATTTTCGATGACCCTTCTTCCTACGACTCATGCAGCGTTGCAAGTAGTTGCTCCTCCTATTTGCCTCCCAGCCACCAACAGGGTACCTGGACGCCCCCAGAATTTGTCGAAGGGAAGGTGTGCATATTTATGATATATATATATATATATATTAATATATACATGCAGTTGTCACCATTGGGAGCTGGCGAGGGGTTTGGAGGCTCTTGGATACAACTTGTTTTGTGGTCACCTGCCACGGTCTGCCAGGTACCGCCGACCTATGCAAAGGTTCATGCGGCTGTACCAACTGCGGTGCCACGTTTGCCAGAGGAAGCGGTCAAGCGAGGGCTTACATTCATTGCCAGACTTTTCGAAAACTTGTGCCTTTGTCTTAAATTGCAACAACTTCGACCTCGTTTATGTTGCTCCTCACCCCAATTTGTTGTCTATGGAAAAATAAAACCGACAACACAACTGGAGAATTCCACTTGCGTCGGTGGGAAGCCGGACAGTGGGAATGAGAAGGAGGTGTTCAAGTCAGAGTTGCGCGAGATCTTCCGGTGTTCGGAATGCAATTAGATTCAGCTGGACTATTGTCACTGCAATTTTTGGCTTCACGGAGATGTCAGTTTTTAGATTTAGTACCCCCTGGTGTAACCTCAGAGGAATGAGCTCGCCACTCGCTCCTACCTTGGACTTGTTCACGGATGTCTTCCAAGACTGGTGGCTCACATGGGAGAGCAAAACATCCATTGCTTGGAAGTTGTATGGGCATTCTTGAAGAACTAAGGGAACCATAAAACTCACACAAAAGGCTTTGACCAAGCCTCCCAGCTAGCCGGGCTGGACCTCCTCGTGTGGCAAAGATGTCAGGGAGCCACGCGGGAGCGCTTGTTCAAGCAGAGAAAGGTAATCGCGCGGGTTGCCAACTTGCGGCGCACTTTGGGCTGACCTTGCCCACCTTTGCCTTTGATGACTCTGCTCGGGAAGAGAGTTCGGAGGGAGGAGGAGAGCACGATGCGAGATTAGCACGCTTGGCGAGTTTGACAACGATGCCACACATTGAGCATACTTGATGGAGATGACACGCGTGGCACTTTGTAGCGGCTTTCCTGCAAACATGCGTGCGCTCTTGGACCAGACCGACCAGACCCGCCAGGGGGCTCGCTACGGCGTCGCCGGTAAGTATGAGTTTTCGCCGTCACTGGCTGAGAGATGCTCCTGCGAGGGACAGAGTGCCACCCAGCAATGAGCAACTCATCATGTCTACTGACGGCGCTGTTTCCTGGGGTGAGGTGATACCTGTGTAATTGGTCAGCAGCGGGCGCTTGTCTGGTCTTGAGGGAACGGCGCTGCTGTTGCGGCCCGCGTGGCGTTGGTCCCTGTGGTGCGTGCGCTGAGAGACCTGCGCACATGTGGGAAGACTATCAGGCTGTGGTTGAGATGATTGAAGTCATGCTTTTGCGAGGTGATGCTGCAGTTCCCGTCAAAGATGATGCATCAAGGCGCCTACAACAGAGTTGTTGATTTGCTGCGGTGCAGGCAATGAGTCGGGTTCTGGCCACTGTGCGCAAACTTGTGTCAGGGCGGACACTGTGGCGCAAGCGAGCGCTTTGCAAAAGTTGCAAAACACTTCTTGCGTCGAAATCCAGAGGAGGCTGCCCGCCACAGGAATGTTGCTTCGCGCAGCCTCTAGCTCACTTAACGTGGCACTTGGCAGCTAAGCAGCCGGCCCGAACAGCCGAGCAGTTGAGCAGTTGAGGACAGTGGAGTCGAGGTCTTCTCCCACCTCAAGCTCCACAAGGAGTCGTAACACCTGGTGTGGCCAAACTCCAGAGACTTTAAACTATGCCATTTTTTGGCGGAGAGGACGATTCTGGAGCAAGGAGACAAGATTCCAGCTGGCCCACCACGCACGTTCACGTCCCCAAATTGCTTCAACCTCGTTACAAGGAACCCTGCACGGATGGGTCGAACAACGAGCACGCTGGTTTCGCAAGGTCCTTCGTGTTGTGTGAAAAAACAGCTTGTTGCGAGTGTCGGGTGGAGTGGCTTGTGTCGCTGTTGCTTGGACGCGGAAAAGACTGGTTGACGGGAGATGGTTGACGCGTGCTACTCAGCTGCCGGCGTGCAAATGAGAGCCGGTGGGTCAGGTGTGCGAGATGGGCCGGCGGCTCATTGCCTCATGCAACCTGTGACTGTGTCGTTGGGGGGTCACCCTTGAGAAGTGGCTTTGTAGACGTTCACCCAAGATTACTGGCCCTCCTCGCCCACAGCGGCACCAAACTACTTTGACATGTTTTGACCACGGAGCACAATTTTGATTTGGGCTTCACCTCATTCTTCACACATTCTTGCAGGATTTCTCCTTTGCTGAGCCGGCGTATGCAAGCAGAGCAAGCCGAGGAGCCAGCCGAGGAGAGGGGTGCTTCGGGGATGTGTCAGAGGATACGTCGGCTGTCTTTTTGCGAGGGCACCTGCTTGGATGCGTCAGAGGATCAGAAGTACGCACTTTGCTTTTTGGTGAGGGTGCCTTTCTTGGGTGCCTTTAAAGGGGAAACCACTGGGAAAAACTAAGTATAAACAATGAAATGGTTGAAGAAAATCCCAATAGGATTTGGGCGCTCAAATGCGCACCAGCTTTTGGGGAGAAACCCCAAAGATTTGTCTGACTTAGGTTGCGGAATCAGAATCAATAGTGCAACTTTGAGGCTGATTCAGCTGCCTGTTTTGTATCTACGTGTTGCGGCAATTCTTAGCTGTACCTTCTGGAATGCGGACGCGAAACATGTAGGCAAACCCTCGGCCTTGGCCATGGTCATCACAGTGTTAACATGTAGGGTCATGTTGCAAGCTGCCAGGGTCCGTTGAGGCAGAACCGGTGCTGTACATAGGGGGTGATCCACCTGAGCAATCTCCATCTAAAATAGGGTAGTCTGTTGTTGCCCTCGGAAAAATGTTTGACACTTGGTGTCCTCGTGTGCCAACCCTGTCCCAAAATAGGTGGTCAAAGCACCACCCTCCAAAATGTGTGGTTTGTTATTGGAGAGACATCGTTCGGTTCGAAATATTGGGACATGGAAGTCCAGGCGAGAGCGAGGATGAAAAGCTCTTTACCGCAGGGCTCCGGGGACGCGCAGGCAGCAATCGGTCGGGACAGTTTTCTTGCAAAGGGGTTGCGCCCTTCTTCCAACGATTTTGGAAGTAGACAGGTGATAGGAGGGTTTTGCAAGACCGCCATCCTTTTGAAAAGGCCCCTGGCCCAGGTCCAGTTTGGAGCCCCTTTGGTTCTTGAGGGCTGCAAAGGTAGCCTGAGATAGTTGTATTTTGAGGGCTTCTCCACTTGACCTTTGGGGGTCGCTTGCCTTACCACCAGTTTTAGGGAACTTTGAAGGAAACGGTCTAGGTGACACGTTGAATCGCCCGTTCAGGAACCTTTGAGATAGACAGCCTGGGCAAAATATAAGCAACCAAACCGCCACCTTCATAGGGGCGACCAACAACATGTTGGGTTGCCGGGGGGGTTTGCCCGGACCGAATGACGGTCACTCGGTCACTCTTGAAAGTGGGTTGGGAACCTGTGCGAATAGCAGTAAATCGTGGCTTCGGTGGGCTCACAGGAAAGCCTCAAATGTCCAACTTCGCGTATTGGAATCTCAGATTTGGATACGCGGTGCTGGCAGGTGCAGCATTTTCATTTGCTCGAAGCAGGCTCCAGGACTGTGGCTTGACTCGCTTAGCGAGAGACCTTCAGGATGCCATCAACACTTTCACGCAGCTGTCCGGGCCGGGCTGCCTTGCATAAGCGAAGCAGACAAGTCATGAGCTGCGCTGAGACTTGCTGGCAGAACTCCCGTTCCTGCTCAGCACCGAGAGCGCAGCGGAGACAAAGAGAAGGTAATTAGCTCCTTCAAACGCAAGAAGACCCCAAGCCCTCTTAGACACCAGGTATCTAAAACCACTTGCGGCAAAATGGCGGCGTGTTAGATAAGCAAATGAGATTGCGCAGTCGCGCAGAGCACGCAGATAGCGGAGAAGTCACATGGCGTGTAGGGCTGGGGGCTCGGGATCGTCTAGTTTTTGGCCTCGACATGCTGGAAACATGGATGCGTGTTCTTTCCATCCTCCCCCACCCGTTCCCTGCCCATCCGCGAGCACGCTGAGGATCGGCACGCGCGGGGCAGCATGAAAGTCCGGGCAACCCCCCCAGTCAACCCAACATGTTGTTTAAGTAGTAGCTGTTTGAACATGTTTCAGCGGGTTTGGCCCAACCCTGTGCTACACCACATGAAGGTACCTCCACCTCGCTGCCGTTACCCACGCTGCGCTTGCCCAAGCCGACTCCGAAGGCCGACTCGAATTGCACGACGGGGGTTCGATTTTCCTGGCCGGCCGAATTAAACATCACCCAGACTGACCCAGCCTTTTTGCCCCGGCCCTTTTGGGTTTCATTCAGTTTCCCTTCTCAACCAGCAAAAGGTTACTGGCTTTGCAAGGTCGGATCTGTCTGGCCAAGCAAAAGGCCATCGGACTCCAACAAGGTTGAGCTCGTACCCTTTGCAAATTAGACTGAAGCAGTCTAGCTGGGCGTCCGTTTTTCCGCGGCGACCCTGAAAAAGAAGCAACACAGAAGACCGATGATTTAATTAACCTAGCCCGCGGTACATTTGCTGGAGTCATCAGCCTCCAGCTGCGAGTGTTTTCCTTCTTGCTGGTCATGTACTGGACGCAGACATTGGCTTGCCGACAGGTTTCATGAAGGCCTGCTGCCGGTGCCTAAACTGCACGGAAATTCCTACAATGCACAGCCGCGCCTCTCAAAAAAAGGTGCAGCAGGAGTTGTTTGCATTCGCTCGGCATGCATGACGCGCGAGCAGAAGCGTAGGGACGCACAGCGAAAACACACTGAACATCAAATGAGCCAGCATCAAAAACCACGCCACACCACAGGCAAAAATCCGGTGGGTACTGAACAAAGGTCATTGTGGGCGCCCTCGTTGCATCCTTTGCTCATGAGTGCAACACATGTATATTTTGTTTTTGAATTAAAATTCTTTCAAAACCTGAAATAGGACTTGAGCTACCACAACAACGACGACGACAACAACAACAACAACAAGAACATGTGCACACACATACATTATATAGCATAATATAGCATAACATAGACATAAAGAAAGCATTACATAAACATGACATTTGTAACATATATATAATCCTACGTTGATATTTGGTTAATGATATGTTTAATAAGTTGAAATGTGGGTTTTTTGGCATTAGATTTATTATAAGATAATTTGTGATTTATATTTCTTTGGTTAGGGAAATGTTATATTTCTTTTATTAATATAATTAAATTACGAACATTATACAATTATAATATATAATTTGATATATATATTAAAATTGAATTGGCTTATATTAAAAATATAATTATAAATGAAGGAATTTAATAAATATTGGAATTGGATGGATATTTATGTATATACAAATATTTATTATAGTTGAAATAGAATTAATTTAATATTATTAAATAATATAATTATATAGTTTTTTGTATTTTTCGGTGTATTGTAATTTTCATTCTCTTTTTTTTTTGTGTTATATTTGTTGTTTATTTTTATTTTTTTGTGTTTTTATTTTTATTTTTGTGTTTATGTTTATTTATTTGGTAATATTTTTTTATTTGTAATATTATTTTTATGTTTTAAAAATTATTTTGATAAATTAATTTATTTTTTAAGATTTGGTTTTTTATTTTCTTAATGCCATTTTATCGCCTATAAGATTGAGGATAATTTGTTAGATTTTGTTAAAATTAAGGATAAGTTGTTTAGATTTTGTTAGGACATTGATTAATTTTTTTCGGAATTGATATTATTTTTGGGGAGCCAGTGGCTTTCTGCTACAGATGTTTTTTCTTTTTTCTTTAATTGTTTTTTATATTTATAATTATTTAATTTATAAAAATATAAATTAATAATAGAAAAATAATAATATTACAATTAAAAAAAACAATTTTATAATTAATAATATTAATATATATATTTAAAAAAATATAATAAAAAATAATAATTATATAAACAAATATATACCCAAATAAATACATAATTAAATATTTAAATAAAAATATAATTTATAATTAAATAAAAAATAATTATATTTATAAATTATAATATATATTATTAATATAATAAACAATAAAATCACACGGAGAAAAAAAAAAAAAAGAAAAAAAATACAAATATACGAATACACCCAGCACAAAATTTTAGAGAATTTTCCATACATACAAATTCGTCATTTTTTTTCTAATTTAATTCGGGTTTTTTTCCTCAAAAAAACATTAAATTCTAAAGAAATTTACATAACTAACGCTTAAAAAACCTAATCATCATATCACCAAAAGCGACCCAAAAAGAAATTTAATAAAATTATATCATAGAAATTCCAAACAAAATCATTAAATACCCCTCGAAATTTCAACAAAATATTCAATCCTTCCAAATCATATAAAAAACAACAATATATCTAATCAATATACAAACACTATAATTCAACCAAATCACAATTATATTGTTCCACAATATACAAAAGTACGACCCCCAAATCGTAATATTTGAATTAAAAAAATATAAAAGAATAATATATATTAATCAGAATTTCAAAATTATATATTAATATAAAATAAATATAATAATTAATAAAATAGATAATATCTTTATAAAAAAGAGATCGTTTTTGTTTTTTTAGTTGTATATTAATTCATTCCTGATATGAATTTCGGTATTTATTAGTGATATTTTGCGTGAAACCTTCTATGTGCCTGCTCACGGTGAAACTGAGCCACGCCCAGGAGAGCTTGAAGATCCAGCAAAAGTCTGTCAAAAGGATCGTGATGCAAGAGTTGCATGTTTTGGGAACCAATCATTTTGTGTTCCGTTCTTGAGGTCAGGCTTAGCTGAACTCTGCCATGAATCCTGGAAGGCTGTCATGGCTGTCATCCTTGTCATCCGCCGCAAAGCCTGGAAGCCGAGCACAAAAGTCCCAAGACCAAATATTGCGAATAACACTTTGGTATATCATTATTATTTGGCTCCCAAAATTAGAAGGCAGTGCTTCTTTTTGGGCATCCCTTCACTGGTCATCTTTTGACACAAAAGCACTCTTGCTGCATGGAAATGGCAGTCCAGTTCCAGGTTCCGGGCCTCTCATCGAAGACCAAACCCCTCGCTGTTCGCAATGGCCTGGCGTTCACTCTGTGCATGATCCGACCAGTGGCCCAAGTCAGCAGTGCCCAAAAGCCATTGGCTTTCGGTGCTACCAACATGAGGCTTACCATGAGCCCCCATGAAACCAGGTGGCAGAGCTACATAATTGCTACTAGGAATCTGTTAGGGCATGGCTCAAGTTGCGCCCAGCCAATACACGTGCAGCCAGACCGTCAGCAAGCCGCTGCGCAGCTTCTCTTTGGAGGAGAAGCGCGGCAGGAGGAGCTGACCTGTATCGAGGCCCACAATGACGCCGAGCATGGCATGTATGGTGCAAATAGACATGGCTTTCAAAACGTATGAGATGACCACATGGTTTCTATGCGAGAATATGTGACGACAGCATCAAAAGCTTTGGCATGATACAGAAACAAACTGCCAGCCGTTTGTGCCCTTTCCGTCTTTCACTCACGCCTCACGTCTCGCTTGATCCAAACAAATTAGCCGGCCAGGCTAAAGCAGGTGTACGCTGATGGCAAGCGGTCATCTCCCACGCCGTTCTTTTGCACAATGAGACCTGGCTGTGCACGAAAGCCGTTTTGTGGGACTCGAATGCCCGGCCTAAAGCTTGCCACCCTCGAAGAGGAACCCGATCACTGGCTGTCACGAAGACCACGAACTGAGCCTTAGTGTGCGGCAGCTCGAGATATTTTTTGTCACAAGACAGCATCACAAGAGATGGTGAGGCACCTTGCATGGAAATCCAATGCTGTGACCGTGCCTTGCCATACAATTTGAGATCCAATTTGGTCGTGGCTTGCTGTTCTCAAACGCTTCACACGTATGTGGCATGAGTGCCCTCCTTTGAGGGTTTTCTTTGACTCAATACAACGAATCTGGCCCAATCTAGACACAACATATACATATGGCTCGCTCCAGGCACAACATATCCTTTGACTAAAACACTTGATCTGTCATGAAAGCAAATCTCGCGCTCTCTGGAGAAATGATACTGTCAATGGACGATGATGGCAAACACATTTGACTCAAACTGCAAAGAAAGAAGAGGAATATCGTGTGGCTGACGTGTCAAAACAATTCAAATCGCGGTCGAAAGATCTGAGGATTGTATGGGAACCACCAAGCTTGAAACAACTTCCTTGGAGAACCAACCCTTGCAAAGACATTGTTACTTGCTGCGAGGAAGTATCTGGTTGGTTCTTTCCGGAAGTCTCTTTTCAGCCGAGGTGCCATTTCAGCTGCGCTGAAACTGGCCAGCGCCTGGCGATTCGGGTGATGAGCCGGGGCTTTGCTGCAAATTGAATTGCAGAAGAAAGCATGGGCTGGCCTGAAAGGCAGCTACCCTGGAAGTAGACATGTGGCTTTAGGAAGACTAGGCTTTCCTTCTTGGAAGAGGGTTCCCTGTTGCTGGAGGTACCCAATCTTGAAGCAGACCCAGTTGTTCAATGAATCGGCTCCAACTGCGGACAGTAGTACCCCACAAAACGCAGTGCAGCCGCAAACCAGTCGGGCTCGAAATTGATAGCCCTCGCAGGGCATATACCAGGCGGAAAGTACATGGCACAGTTCGCTCATTTTGGTCCAGTCAGCCCCTTTACAGTACTTACCTACATCCACCGGGAATTGCGCCATCTACTTTCACCCAACTGTACTACGTAAACAAGCCTGCCTCCCAGAACCATGGAAGATAGTCAGACCTACAGCCGGCCAGTCAAGTCGGGCGCATGGCACATCAGGATGGCTCGTTTCCATAGGCTGAAGGAATCAACCGTAGGCTCCTTTGCTCTCGAGTTGGTGCCCTTTCCACCTTGTTTGAAAGGGGAACCCACAGGACGACCGAGGTCGATGTCAAGGGTCCAAATCCGTACTTTGACACATACCCATACATCACCCCTGGAATGACCCCCTCCCAAATATTATTCACTACGGGTTCCTTACAGGGTTGCCTTTAAATGGGAGGAATGAGTTGTGAACCTCCCATGACCCGAACCCCAAGCACTTTGACCGAACCTCATGGAAGCCCTGGTCAAAACTCCTTTTTGAGGGTTGTGATCATGTCCCTGTAGGAGCCCTTCAATCGGTAGTCCAAAATCCCCAAGAAGTCCATGACGAGCCCTAGCAACCCTAGCAAGGGTGTTTGGGGTCGGGCGGGATAATAAACCTAACTCACCCTAAACCTACCCTACACAAACCAAGCCTGTACACCATCCCCAAGCAAGCCCCAAGCAATTTGTAAACCAACGCTAAAGCTACACACACACACACCCATGTCATGGTCATGCACAAGGAACTTATGCCCGCTTGGTGCTGGGGGGCTGGCTTTTGGGCTTTTGCGCATTTGCGGCTGTTGGTGGCGTTTTGTTACGCCTCAGCAAACCTAGCCCCCACTCAAAACATCTGACCCTTAACCCCATCCTAAACCCTAAGACCCTGAGCCAGGCCCAAACCAACCCTTGCCTTCATTGAGGTCGGGCCTATGTCAAAGGTGTTGCTTGTGGGGTTTCGATGAAGGCTCTGTTAGCCTGTTAGCGGTTGGTCAGGTGGTCAGGTGACTGAGGTGAGAGGGGCCGCGGAAAACAGGGACCCGCAGCATCGGAGAAAACCAAAAAACAACAAACAAACAACAAAACACTAGCAATTCCAAGGAAAACAGCAACTGTTGGTGGTCCAAAACCATATTCTGAATTATGTTGACACAGACTCATATGAGACCCCCCCCCCTCCCCCCAATTGAGCCAACCTAGGATCCCATGGGCGCTAATCAAGCCGCTCTCTCGATCTGGGCTGCAGGGCTCCTCCTCAGGCGTCCAGCCCTCGATCTCGGCACCAGACCGAATGGCGTCCACCTCGGTTTCAGGAGCCCCGGTAATCCCATGGCAAACCCGAGACCACCAGGGCACTCCAAAGATGATAAATGTCTAAGTGCTCCAGTTTTTTCCAGGACTTCAACCCAGACATTCTCTTGGAAACCAAACACTGGGTGTGAGTCTCAACAAATCGAACCCTGTATATGTATGTGTATGAGTTTTCATTCATAGGGGACCACCTCAACAGTAGTTGGTGGACATGAATCCCAACCTAAATGATGTGCACAAAAGGGCCCCTAATTTTCATTCACACCCAGAAAGCGAGGGAGAGAGAGAGAATTAGAGAAACTGCTGGTTCCAACATGTTCAAACAATACTGTTGCAGACATGGGAACCCAGGATTCATCAACCCTTGAATCATAGGGTCCCTGAAAAGAGGGGAACCTGAATGGAGGCATGCCACAGGCTATCAATCCGGGGTCAACATTTGACAAAGTCAACCCACGCAGCCCCACATCAGATCTCTGAAGTGAAGGACCTCTCTGATCGAAGGGATTCGACCCAATTCTGAGAACCATTGGGGGCAGGTCGCGTGCCTAGGACGAGCAAGCCCAAGTTCGTCTTCAAGGAGAGTGCGCTTGATACAACTGCCAAACAGCTTCTCAAAAATTGGGGCACCCATGTAGTGACACCCAAACAGAAGAAACCACGCCGAAAGTAGACCCCCACAATGGCTGGTTTTTGTTGGTCTCCCGTTACAACCTGCCGCCGAGATCGCGCACTGGACCCTTCGCGATCGGATCCGAGGCCGCAAGCGTCCACTTTCTCCGCACCGCCGCACACGATCTTCTCCAGCTGCACCTGCGAGGCTTTCCGTGGAGCGGGGATAGGTTGCATTGGCTCATGGAAACCCAAATGAAATTTCAAGGAATTTTCATGGGCCCGTTTTCTCTTGAGGGGCTCCAACTATGTTAGAAAGAACCCGGATCACTTTTGGGGCACATCCCCCCAAATCCTAAGGGCTGATTGAGCCATCCGCACTGAAACACATGCCCGAGCCCTTGTCGACAAGAAACCCGCATTTTGACCCGCTACCACCTGTCCGCAAGAAACACCCACCGAACCTGTGACTTCCAAAATACTCTGGCCATTGATTGCTTGATGCTTGAGCCCACAATCCACAATCAAGGCAACCACATCTGGCCCCGCCGCATCCACGATGGTTCGCAGCAAAAACCTGGCGAATGTGCACGCTTCGGCTTCGATGGGGCCCCGCTAAGGTCCAAATGATGGACTCTCGGGTGAGTCTTGAAATGCGACACTCTCAGGGCACCCTTGTTTGTCCTTTGGTTTCCCTTTTAAATCACCCCCAAAAAGGATCGCCTCAAAAAAGCACACCCATTTTGAGGAAAACTTAGACAACCCCAACGAATGGAGGAACAGCAAGGAAGGCAAGTGGGTGAACAAACCTACCTGCGTGCAAACAATTGTGTGCAAGCGTATGGCTATGGATTCGTAATGTGTGGAACGCACTCAAAAAGAGAGGGTAGACACAAATTAAAGATGTCCGCCGCACACTTCCCGATCAACATGCTCGCCCAGGATAAACTTACTTGCTTCCCCTATATGGGAAATTGGGCTGCCTGTGGGAAAACCCCCCTTCTCATCTTTTAAGAAAGCTGACAACGAACTACCATAATTCGTGGTCAGTTGCTCATACTATAAGGAACTGTAAATAGTCATAGTCCCCGTCATCTAATGTAGTCAGGGGAGTTACATTGGATACTTTTCAACCGAGCTTGGATATACTCGCCAAAAAGCCACTAGGAATTTGGATGTTTGTCACCTAGATCCAAATCGGGGGACGCGGACGCGACAAAGGTTGACCAGGCTCTCGCAATGTTGCAACTTAGCTCAACACTTGGCCGGTGCGGCGAGCCACCAAGGATGGACTTAAACCCCTCGCACAGCGGGTTCAACCTCCAAGGCAGGTCTTGCATGTGTCAGGCTGGCCAAAGTTTTCCCCAGCAGTTCACCTTCGAAACGGCATGCGCGTCGGCAGCACCTATTCAATCTTAACACTGACATGCGTGTTCTTTCCATCACTCTTTCATTGAACTCTCTCCATGCTTCCTCTCTGACCGTCGTGAGGGAGGGCAACCAATTCATGCGGATCTTTGGAGACCGGCTGGGCAGCTATTCGATCGTGGAAGAACCAGTCAATGTACGCCTGCGAGCACGGCCGGCATTTGCTCTGGATCCAAATGGGTGTGTGACCCAAAAATTGGGGACACCCGTTTTGGCTGGTTCAAAGGAGCACGAGGTGTCTTTGTTCTTAGGGAAGAAACAAGTGGATGAATTCGATTTCGAACATCCTGTTTCCTGAGTTGACTTTCTGCCACATGCACATGCTCATCGAGCAGGTAACAATTGGGTTGATTGATTTCATGTTTAGTGGGAACCCCAAAAGGCACTGGACAACTGAGACAACTGGGTCTCACAAATACGCGCAGGCGGGGGGCCCCGCCTGCACGAAATCGGCCTTGTTGGCTTGCGAGATGTGGAGGTCAGCAGGTAGCTGTCTCCCACCTCAAGCGATCTTACACCCAGACTGTTCCAGGAGTATCTGGGTGTGGCTTAAAACTAAGAAGGCTGGGGTTATACCATTTTGGGTACCATGTTTCAATCCACGGCCATCTCTGAACTCAGGATGCTTTTCTCCAGGAAACCGTCATCCACGAGGGGACACAGCTGTGTTGAAACTTAAACACTAGAACTGTGAGCTCTCCTACAAAGCAAGGGGAACGTCTATTCACTTTATGACCTCGACTGCTGACTACAGCGCACCAAAACACTCAAGCACCTGAGAGTAAGAATATGGTCCGGTTCATTTCAATCTTGTCTTTCACCGGCAAGGAATGAGAGATATCATGCGAACAATGCAAACGCATCATGAGCAAATAGAGCAAAGCAAGCCTTACTCTTACAACACAGGCAAACATGCCCTGGCTGTCATACAGGATCTCCACGCGGCATGCATTTCGCATCATTGCCGCGCTCCGCAACGTGCCACGCACCTTCCTCAAAGCCCCCAAGTGCACTACAGCCACTTCCCAGCGAAACAAGCCCCCACTCCGGCGCCGAGCTCTCTCTAAGCTTCCATGCAACCACGAAGACTAAGGGCACCACGCGGCCAGCCCAAATCTCCAAAGACCTCTGCGATGTCCTGTCATGACAAGCAATCGCCCTGTCCCTCGGCGGCGTCAGCCCCTACTGGGTTTCCTACATCATTTCCCTTGTAACCACAAAGAAACCGGGAAACGGCGCTTCACTTGGGGTGGTGTGCCCCCCCGCTATACAAGAAACGGGAGTGAGATAACGGATCAAGCTGTTGGAGCTGGTCCTCTCCAGAGTACTCCAAGATCTGTCGGAGGCTCCTCAGGCGTCCAGGAGAAAGATTGGCCACTATTGGCAAATACAAGCTCGCAGTTCTGAAAACCAATATGAAAGACTCCCGGGGCCTTCGTGGCTCAAGCAGAAAGGAGCTGTTTGAAAAAGACCTTAGCCTCAAAATCCGCAGAGGAAAAACAACGACAACCCCGAATCCTGAAAGGCCGATCCCCGATTCTTTTCGCCCGTCGTCCTTTTGGGAGACGATACAACAATTCTCAGGCATTTGGCCATCAAAAAGGAAGATCGATTTTTTTGGTGGGCATGTCGGAATAGGGGCACCGTCAAATTCGCCAATTGACACAGGTGAGTAGTGATTTTTTTGGTGGTTCGAGGCCTATACACTACTTGCATGCCTACGCGAAGGCCTACGCAAACCTACGCGGCCTGCGAGGGGCGCCTACGCGAGCACAAGTCAGCTTCCAGGTGCCTACGCGAATGCCTACGCGGGCAAATGTTGAGTTCAAGTGTCGGAGTGCACTGTGGCAGCTCCAGCTGGAAAATCGCAACTTTTCAGTAAAGTGCAGTTTTGGCAGCTCCGGCTCTAAGATCAGAATTGCAGTACAAGTGAGAAGCCCCGCATCTGTCCAAGGATCTCGCTGCCAGAAAAGGTCTACGTACCCAAAATGCCTTGAAAGCCTACGCGAATGCCTACGCAGGGCCTACGCGGAGCCTACGCGAAGACTGCAGAACAAACAAAAGGAAGGCAAAAGAAGCAAATACTTGGCAAACAGCACTGAGTCATGATTTGTTCAACAAACGCCTACGCGAAAAGCCTACGCGACGTGTGACACAACAGCCTACGCGCTGAAGCCTACGCGAGCCTACGCCCCCAACCTTTTTGTATAAACCCTTTCATTTGATTAAAAACCGCTGCTCAGGTGTCCTTTTGGTTTCCCTTACACCAATCTGAAAAATATTAAACCTCAAAGAGCTTGTCGCCTAAAAAACGGTGCAATCTGCTTTCGCTGTGTTTGTTAGAGTGGAACCAACCAAACGCCCTCTTTCCGAGTTGAACCTTCTTTTTTTGTCTCCCTTTTTGGGCCAAGTACATAAGGCCACCTGTCGATGTGGAAACCCAAGGCAGCTTCTCAGCGCACGGCTTCGCAGTGACTGGACACACCGCGCCGATGTCCTGCGCTTTGGGAATTCCTTTTTGCTGGTGGCTTAAAGGGCGCAAATCCCCTACTTTGACACATACCCACACAGGGGCTGCCGCCTGTAAGAGGGAAGCCCTTTGCAAGACAAAAATCAAGATTGATGCCCAGATCCGACACACTCAGGTACTATGTCAATAAGACGAAGTTAGCGACACCCTCTCCCACTTGGTTTGTCTGAGAATGAGAGGACCAACGAACCTTGGTTTCCTTTCACCACAACAAAGAGCACCCTGAAAAGAGAACATACCAAAATTGATAGACTGGATATGTTTTGTCCGAACCTCACACACAGCTCTGCGGGGGTGGGTTTTCTGTTTTCCCAAGCGAAGTGCGGCACATGCTATGGCACATGCTATGTTTGATCAAGCTCGTGGCTGGTAGCCACTGTCAAATTCGCTTCCCCGTGTGTCCCCTGACATAATCCTGCTCAAAGAAATGTGCACTTCAGATACCCCGAACAAGTGATCAAAATCACCCAGAGGGGGGAAACTTAACAAGCCCTGTACCAATTGACTGTTGGCGTCATGGTAGTCTACGCAAAACAATGCGAACAATTACAGGGCGACAAACCTTGTGCCCGGGCTTCGATCTGCCCGACAGTCCTCTAGCCTCAGCTTCCTTGCACACGGCGATTCCAGCTCCTGGGTCCATGGCGCATGGTCTGACCCGTATGGGTTTTAACAAATGGTTTTCTTTCGGACAACACATGATGGTCCCATGCACGTGACGCATCTCTGAACTTGCAGCGTGACGACTCTTCAATCTTGGCATCAAGTCGCCGCAAGGCATGTCCCGGCACTCTGTTTGAGGGGTCTCTTGTTTGGAGACAGGCAAAGCAGTCCGTCAAACGCGCTTGCAAACCTGCGGTGTATGCACGACATTCAGTTGCGGAGAAGGGCCAGATTGCTTGGCCGAACTGTTTGTTATTGCCCCTTCGCTGAACATGGTTTAGCTTCCTATCGGCTTCAAAGGTGCCTGAGTCGTCCGAAAAGCTGGGGGCCCAAAGCTGGGTAGCTTCCTGATTGCTTCCCGTGAAACATCAAGGGGGTTGAAAGCAATGTGCCAAGATTCGCCTCGGCCTCAAGGGGGCCAAGGGCGCTCAGATCTCGTTTCCCAAAGGGAATCTTCGCTTTTCCTTCCCGAAAAGCTAGGCCTGTCTGACGTGTCTGAGATTACAGTCGAACCACAGACGCTGCGCGCTCGGCTTGGCCGAGGCGGCAACTCGCAGCGTGTACAAGTACTATTGTTCGCCGGCCACAACAAGGGATCCAGAAAAAAATACGGGTTTGTCTCAAAAAGACACCCCCCATGTGTCTAATTGTTGGAAGCTCGTGGATCCGCAGCTATTCAATACCTTCTTTGCAGGCACTTGAGTAGCATCTTCCCTCCTCCAAAAGTCGATCGTAGAGAGCCTCAGCACACAAGCAAAGCTGGCTGAAAGCGCAAACCGATTTGCCCGCTCACAAGCAAAGTGCTCATTATTTAGCCACGATTTGTGTCAACGACCAGCATTAGGTGTCTGTTTGCATACAGAGAACCAGCGGTTTATTGTGTCAGCACCCTTTCCAAACAAAATCTAGTCAGTGGTCTTCCACCCTTGCATCTTGGAAGGTGGCAGTGTACATCAATGCACTCATGGAGTGACGTGCTTTCCGGCGGCAAGATCTCATCAGATCCCATCAGAAGACGTTGCCCACAAGGCACTGGGGCCCCTGCTCTAGGGAAGATGTTGGGCACATGGGTGTTGTTTAACACCGCCTCAACGCCAAGCCCCGGAAACAATACATTTCGGGGGGGTCTCTGATTGCTATGGTCCTCGAGAGGAATCCGAGGATAAGATCGCTATACTTGGAAAAACGAACCCTCAACGATGGATGAGGCCATCTCATCCCACGCGAACGTTGCTGCGGACGAGTCAGAGTGCTGATGGTAAGCACCAGCCATCAAAGGAAGATGAGGTGAATGAATGTCCCAATGTTTGGATGGCATTGCATTTGGGACCATGCCTAATGTATGCACGAATCGGATGAGCACGTGAGTGCTTTGTTGACTTCAGTTTCTTTTGTTCGCCGCCACGTTGCCGCGTTCGCCGCGTTCGCCGCGTTCGTGCAGATGGCGTGTTGCCAATCCAAGAAATCCATATCTATGGAAAAGAACCCTCGATCCAACCCCCAGCCCAACCCAAACTACTCAACTACGGCCCTAACCTAGCTGGCTTATCTGCCCCATCCTTTGAATGCTCAGGGTCACGTGATTTAATTTACGCCAGGACTCGCTGTTGGCGCTTATTCCATTTAACGTCGAGCCGGCAGGCGCCTGCCCCAGAAGGATGCCATAAGCCTGGAAGCACTGTCCGCAGTTCAACGCTTCCTCGTTGAACCAGTACCTCGAGGATGCATCGACGAGCGCAGGATGGATGGATACACCCAGAGCACTTGTGGATAAGCGGGGCCGCATGGCTAGCTTACCACTTTGAATGGGAGTGCGTTGGCATCACGGAAATGAAACTTAGGGCCGGCCTAGCCTAAAGTGGGGATTCATGCGCACCAGCCAGTTTTGAGGTGGCTCCAGCGCTTAGAATCATAACCATGCGAGCCATATGAGTGGCTCTCCAAATTTTCGGAGTGATACCCATGCGTCTCCTTTGGGCTTCCCACGTTTGCCACCAAAGCCTTTGGGGGGCGCTTTGCCTATTGGCCGCAGGCTCAGAGACGCTGGGCCGCGGGCATTCTGGACCTCGATGCGGCCGGGTTTGCACAGAAGGGGGCCGGGGGTGTAGGACCCCCAATCATGTTCCACGTTGGTGGGGAGTGGCCACTCAAAGTTCGCTAGTTCTCCGGCTGGATAGGTCATAGGTCGAAGTGGAAAACCATGCATGTTGTAAACCAAATGTGCCCCCAACACAGGAAATAGCAATGACATATGTACTCATAATGGGAACCCAGGATTCTCTCAACCCGTGTTGATTCATAATAGGGGATGTCAAAGCGGGCATCCTTGACTCTTGTGGAACACCCCTCGTGTATTCAGCCAGGCCGCTGCTCGTCGTACGAGAACAGCTTTTCACCCTCAAACTCGCCATCCAGAAAGCTGCGCATGGCAACCTGCCAAGACGCTGGGGAGGCAAAACTGGAGTGTTCTGCTCCAAAGACAAGGGTTACTGGATTTTCCTCGCAAAAAGTTGCAATTTACTGGTGGTTTTCATGGAAACTGCCAAAAAAAAGGAACTGGAGGAAACCCTGAAAGAAGAAACACCCTTTTCCGGTGTATGAATTGCAATAGAGGGAGCCCATTGCAACGGCGTGGTGCGCAAATCAATCCTGGCAAATGTTCAACGCGTTATTGACATTCAAACAAAACATTTCTGCATCTCGACTCTGGCCTGGAAAAACTCGCGAGTGACTCCAGGTCCGCCAGCCTGGCCAAGTCGAGTTTGCTTGATGTGGCTATGAATTTTTTTAGGGGTCTGTAACGCGCGACGCGCCACGAATCTTGCTACGGAGGTCTGTAACGGAGGTCCTTGTTACGCAGGTCTGTAACGGGACAAACATTTCCTGACAAGAAGTATCAGTAGCACGATGTAGCGCAGCACAACGAGGTATGTAATGGCTATGTAACGAGGTCTGTAACGAGGCCAAGCAAAGCGCAGGACGCAAAGCGCGCCTCCGCAGCTCCAGCTTGATTGCAGCTACTCAACGCAAGCCAAGCTGCGGCAAAAAGCGGGGTCGCTGGCCCGGGCTGGGGGTTGGGTCTGCAACGAGGTATGTAACGAGGTCTGTAACGAGGCAAAGCGAAGCGCAGTATGCAAAGCGCGCCTCCGCAGCACCAGCTTGCCTGCAGCTACTCAACGCAAGCCAAGCTGCGGCAAAAAGCTGGGGCTGGGCCTGTAACGAGGTATGTAACGGCTATGTAACGAGGTCTGTAACGAGGCAAAGCAAAGCGCAGCACGCAAAGCACGCCTCCGCAGCTCTATTCAACGCAAGCAAAGCTGCGGCAAAAAGCGGGGTCGCTGGCCCGGGCTGGGGTTGGGCCTGTAACGAGGTATGCAACGGCTATGAAACGAGGTCTGTAACAAGTTGATTGCAGCTATTCAACGCAAGCCAAGCTGCGGCAAAAGGAGGGCAGTCACGTCACTGGCCCGGTTTGCTCATCTGAGGTGTGTAACGAGGGCGTGTAACGAGGGTGTGTAACGAGGGTGTGTAACGAGGGGTGTGTAACGAGCCAGCTGGTTTTGTTACAGAGGTCTGTAACGAGGTCTGTAACGAATGTCCGCCGCAAAAAACAGACCCCTCAAAAAAATTCACTGCCATGTCTGGATGCCGAATCGTGCAAGGTCGTCCGGAAAAAAACAATAAAACACCAATGTCCCTTTTTGGTTTCCCGGTTTCCCTTTAGGTACACTACGGGCCATCTAATTTGCAACTCGCGAGTTGCCAACTCCGCTCTTGTCGTTTGTTTTTGTTGTTGCTGCTTTCTTCGGAGGCTAAAATGCGGAATTCTACGGGGCCCAGTCAAGAATCCGGGACCCAAGAGCAAAAACAAACCAAAATCGTTATAATAAAGTCGCGGACACCTCGCAACTCGGTATTGTCGTGCACTTGGCGTGTTGGAGGACCAAATCGCAAGTGAGCTTGCAACCCACCCACTCACCCCTAAGGACGTGCTGATGACGCTCCTGCTAGATTTCCTCCCAAAGTGGGTGTGTTCCGCGCCGCTCTCCAGAAGAGTTTGATCCAGGCCTCCTCACCCTGGAAACAAATCCGCAGCCTGGGTATGCATGCGCCCATAAAAGGCTGCCAGCTGACAATTCCTTTGGAGGAATTGAGAGCCACGCGTCAGAATATGTCGCACGTTTGGCGAACCCCTCTCCTCCCCCCCCCGAAATGGTTGGTTCCAAGCCCTAAGCAAGGCCCAGCCCTTTGGTGTCGTCCAGGAACACTTGCCAGGTGCTCAAACAGCTTTGCCAAGGGTCCGAGGGCCCGGCGGTTGGCGCAAATCCGCTTGGCTGGGACATCTGCCGAAGCGCTCCTTAAGGCAAACCCATTGCACCCGACCTTGCAACCAACATGGATCAGTGCCCATGCTCACTGAGGCAGGAGCCACCACTGCTTGCACCAGACTTTTGGGCCTCGTCACACAAGGCAAAAGACTGCCCTCGAGTGCAAAACACCCAACCACGCTTCAACCGTGGTTCGAGAAGACATCTCTCTGTGATGGTCACGAATATATATATATATATATATTAATATATAGGTGATTTAAGGGGAAAGCCAAGCGGAAAAATCAACTCTCCGTTGGTGTGTGTGTGTATCTTTTTAGGGTATCACTCCCGGTATCCTGCTTTTTATTTTTTGAATTGGGTGGGGAGAGGTGGTGGGGGGGGGGCGGGGGTAGTTAACAATGAAATCAAAAGGAACACTCATATTTTGCGGAGCCATACCCATTTGGAGGCAAACCCTAGACTCGTCGAACATGCAACCCGCTGATCTTCTCAGCGCAGGGCTCACGTGGAACCTGGACACGGCGAGTGGAAAGGCGGAGAGGGAGATGCAGTATGAGTGCTTCTCTAGCTTCTCAAAATGGGATTCGGACCTGACCCCTTTGTTCACGGGACACCAAAGGAAATGAATCCGTTCAAAGGGGACTGATTCCCATTTTGAAAAAACCCTCCTGTAAGCCACCAGCAACAGTTCAAGCTAATTCGATGCCCCGGCCCCTTTCAAACGGGGCAGGTGTGTGGAATTCCAGTGTAAAGATGTCCACCAACGGGTCCAGTGGGAGGCCCCATTTTCTGGGGTCGCATTTTGGAGCCGGGCCGTGTGAACTTAGGTCCCTTGTGCTCCCCCGCCTTCCAGTGGTTCACGCGTGTGTCAAAGGCGGAACCCCCAAAATGATCCCCAAATTGTGGTTGCTCAATGTGGTTTCTACTTTCCATTGCAATTATGAGAAAACATAGCCACACAATTCTGGGTCTAATTAGCCTCATGTGTCGACTCGGAGGCATGTGCCTCCAGATGCAGCGGCACAATGCGTCCGTTCTGGCGCGAGATCAATTCAGGCACGAGGTCACGGTCATAACTTCTCAAACTCCCTTTCAAAAATGGTTTTGGTGGCTTCCTGTCAAACTGCCACCTGTCTGTCGCCTTCCCATTGCTTCCGAACACTAAATCTTGACAGCAGGGATGGCCCTGTGAAGCAGCAGAGTTCGAGAGTGGGCCAACAAGGTTATTACAACCACCAAAAAGGGAACCCCCAAACTCCTTGCCCTCTGCATTGCATGGTGCTCATTGCCACAATAGTTACTCAATAGTTGTCTAGGAACGGATTAACATTTAAGAGAATCATAATGCAGCCAAAGGCAAGCCCGCTGAGAAAACCCATCTCCACAAATCCTGCCATGCCAAAAACCAGCATGGAATTTGCCAGGGACAGGAACGAGCAGGAACCCTCTCCCAGGTTCCAGGTCTACTTTTGGGTGGGTATCAGGTAGGTTGCCGGTTACCACACCCATTGGTTTTGAATCGGTGTGCGACTCGAAGAAATGCGGCCTGCATGTGCTCCCAAACGTCACAGAGCAAACATACCTGCGCAAAGCCATCGAGGAGAGATTCGGACAGTGCGTATTTGCATGGAAGCCCCTTCAAGGACCAACCAGCTTGGGGGACCCCAATAATGTCCATGGACAGTACTGAGAACCGATCAGGTGCCATCATGTCATGCACATCCGCGAATGTCATCTTTCGAATTAACACCATAAGAACTCCAGAGTCTGACGCGACTGTAGCGGTCACCATTTCAGAAAGCTTCAGGCTTGGGCTCCGGCCCTTCGAAAGTTCAAGGGTACCAGGTTGCTGTGAGTCAGGAACGAGCCTGGGCGCTGGCGCCAACATTTGCATCAAATGCCATGATAACCCCTGGAGCAAACAAATTGTGGATGTGAGGGTCGTCCTCTTCGGTTTCCCTATAAAGCCAACCCTGAATGGGTACCCCCAACAAAAGCGAATATCCATTGACTCCATTGACACATCCATTTGCTCATTGCCGCGTTTTCCTGGAGCTGTGGCCAATCCGATCCAAGGCCCCGGGCAGAAATCGTCAGAGAGTTGGAAGTGCAGGATGTCCAGGACGTTTGGCACCTGAAGCCGTTTGCAAAGCGCGGCGGAAAATTGGGTCGCCCGGCGCCCCAAGTTTTGCCAGGCAACCACCAGGCAGGACTGAGGATTGATTTTGAACCGTCGCAACGGCCAATTGAACTGCAGCACTGAGGAACTCACCCCCCGGTCCCACCTTCATGGGCAAAATCTAGGGGGTACCCCAGTACCCATTCATGCTTGATTTGTGGGCACGTGCCAGGTGACTCTCTGTGCCCCTCGGGTCCGCGGCTTTGGCGCTCGGATGTTTCCGCCAGCGTTGAAACTCCGAAAGGGGCTCGCACTTGTTGATGCCTCGCGTGCGATGTGCAAAAACAACAAGTCCCTGGTATCCGAGCCCAAAGAAAGATTGGTTATAAGAGTTATAAGGGAAGTGTTAGCTGCAAGTACAGGGGCTTGGTCCGACCCTTGGCTCGCTCTCCCCTTGGCGCCTTCTAAAATGAAGCGATCGTAGTCAACCTTGGCAACAAGGTCTGGCTTCCACTACCCCTACGAAAAATGGGGTACACAACCGCAAAGTGGCCGAAGTACAAAGGGGCATATACCGCATTTAGCCTCTGGGGTGAAGGTTTGGGGTAGTGGACAGCATCTCAGCTTGCAGTCCCACAAGACCCGTCTTGGTGACTTGGCCCCCGCACCTTTGGACCGCGACTGCTCTGCTCTTCCAATCTCCTGCAAGTCCCAACTCCAACCCTTGAAATTCAGAGCCACATGTCAAAACCGTTGGTTTCCCCCGGTGCCCCTTGAAGTAGAAACAACAACGGGGAAGGGGTCCCCAAGCTTTGATCCCTGTGGCGACCGGAAGGGCACGCCTGGTCTTGCACGGCAGCTCGTTGGCCTTGTACAGGAATTGAAGCCAACCTTCAGGCAGGCTCTTGCCAAGACATGCCGGACTGGCTTTCCGCGTCGATGAAACAAGTGGTAGTGCCAAGGAAGCACGGATGTTTCACGCAAAAGAACCGACATGCCAGCCGACAAGCGCCAGGGGATCGCCACGCAGTGCGTCAAAGATCACGGTCGCCAGTTTTCCAAACAGGAAACTTCAAGTTTCCAGCAAAAACAATACCTTGTACGGCGCTAGCGTCTATGGGCGGGGCCGACTGCATACCAGAACCTCTCGTCAGACTGGATGTCTTTCACATCCTGGACCTGGCATAGAGTTTCTTTACGGCAACATATAGGAAACCAAAAATATGCGAATGTATGTATGTATGTATGTATGTATGTATGTATGTATGTATGTATGTATGTATGTATGTATGTATGTATGTATTTATGTATTGATTTATGTATGTATGTATGTAATGTAATGTAATGTAATGTTATGTCATGTCATGCCATGCCATGCCATGTCATGTCATGTCATGTCATGTCATGTCATGTTATGTATGTATGTATATATACATATGTTATGTAGAGGGTTGTAGAGTTGGTTCCCTTCTTGCTTAAAGCGATAAAGGAAGCAACCGCAACCCCAAACGCCGCTTCGTCTTCAAGATACTTCAGGCATTGCAAGATCTGTTTAAGGGCATCACGCACAAACTGTCAGAGCTCGCTAGCCTCCGCCCACGTGGACCCCATCATGGGCTCGATCAGGTCTCGTGGACGGATCCGGTCAGCCAAACATGCCCGAGAGGCATGGACAACTCGGGCATTCACCACATCGATGGCAGCCTGCAACGCACGCTGATGCGTGGAAATCATTTCGGGCGACTGGGACCAAACAAATTACGATGTTCCATTTGGTCTCCCTGTAAACTGACGGTGTTCAAAAGTTGAAAGCAGCTAACTTTCGCGTCAAAGCAGCTTCCTGCCTTTCGCGGAAAAACAACACAGAGCACCTCACTGAGCAATCGAAACGGCACCGTTCGTTCGGCTTCGCCGTGAAAATTCTCCAAACTGGGAGGTGCTGGCTTGGACAAGTATGACATGAGCCTCCAGGGCATCGCCTGGATTGAACATGTCGGACCCTGCCTGTGAGAGCTTCTCGAACAATGCGGTTGGCCACTCGAAGGCCAGCTCATTTGCCAGCCTGGGCTGCTAATGTTGGTGTTAAGTCGCGGGTCTGGAAAATGAGCCTATTTGCACCGAAGGCACTGAATAAATGGCGTTTTCCCATGAGGACGATTTTCCAAAGTGACCATTGACCCTGGGCGAACAAACTGATTAATTCGGGGTTACACCACAAGTGAAGGCTTTGCAAAATGTGACACCCCCTATTGGCAAGGAGTTTGTTGAGCATGTGTTCGGCTCGCTACAAGACTGCCAGAAGACTGAGGGAAAACTACCTGAAGTTTTGTAGCCTTCTGTATTCTTCTCAAAAAAAGTTGCCCAAAGAATGCTTTGCATATTGCTATCCAATTGCGTAGCTTCAGCCGTGACTTTGGCAGCATCTAAAAGCATCCAGCACTGCGCCCAACACTCGGGGTCGCCTCTCAAGGTGTGTCTCCAAACGTGGACCCCCCCCCCAACAAAAAATGGGTGGCTTCCGTTTGGTTTCGCTGTGAAAACATTGAAAACTGAAAAAGGGGGCCCTCGGGGGGGAACATGTTTTTTCCGGATGTCCCCACCTGTGGCGATCCGCAACGCTCGAGTGAAGGACGTGCCATCCTGCCGAGAGCCCAAGGAAAGCTTCCAAAAACCAAGAGCGCAAAGGGTGTGGCCGTGCGGAACACACATGAGGCGCTGTCTTTTTAATTTGTTGGGGGGCGGTCCCTCTGACCATTCCAACACCCTCTCCCTGGCCGAATTTGATTCAACTCGCCCTTCGCATGAGCAGTCCTATCCGCTCGGTGATGTCAATCACCCAGAACAATCGCTTGGACCTGCGACTCAAGGGTAGGTGGAATGCAGCAGCTCACGCCCGCTTTTTCATGCCATCGCAACCACATGTCAAACACACTTCCACTCACAAAATATGATTTACCTGAGACATGGCCTTCAAATGGCTAGTTCTCTTGCAGAACGTTGTAGAACCAGCAACAAAACTTCTCCCATCTCGAAATGCACCAATGTCATAGAAGGTTTAGCGCAAGCGTCTGTCTATGTCTGACTGAGTCCCCGGCAAATGCTCGCCGTTGTCCTCGTCGACTTCCGCCTCGTGCGACAGAAACATGAGAGCCGCAGAAGCCGCTAAACAACGACGAGCGGACATTGGAAAGCGACTGGATGCTTGTCATCCCGGCATCTGGATCTGGCCCGAAAACCCCGCCATGCCATTGTGCCTTTCAACATGAGGATATGGCGAATCTTCTTGAGGTGACATCCTGAAATTATAGCTACAAAAGCAAGCGGTTGGAGGAGCCCTGATCTTCTTTCAGCTGAATGTTTCAGGCCCCCGGCCATGAACGCCTCCAGCAACTCTGCCGTCCTGGTGTGGCAGTCCTGTGCAGTTTGGCCTCTCCTTTGGGACGCTCAGAGATCCGAGGCTAATAGTCAGGGAACTTGGAACAAAGAAAGCTGCAGGGTTTCGAATTGGCTAAAATGCCAGGTCCGTCAAATTTCATCATAGTCAGCAAACAGAGATACCGGCATGCCGGCATGTGTACGCCGGTATGGGGGCTTGTCATTTCCAGTTGTCTGCTCCAGTCCTGGCAAAAGTCGATGTCACAATTCTCAGAACAGTGATAATAGTGGCGATCGGTTATACCTCACGCACAAGCGATTGCAAGCCAACAATGTTTTCGCACTAGCAATTGGGGGTGGGGCAGGTTTGCGCGCCCCAAACAAGTATATATACATAAATGTGTGTTGCGTTCAATGCTGCACCTGAAACGTCTAGAGCAACAACAACAACAACAACAACAACAACAACAACAACAACAACAACAACAACAACAACAACAACAACAACAACAACAACAACAACAACAACAACAACAACACGACAGACAACCAACAACAACAACAACAACAACAACAACAACAACAACAACAACAACAACAACAACAACAACAACAACAACAACAACAACAAACAACAAACAACACAACAACAAACAACAAACAACAAACAACAAACAACAAACAACAAACAACAAACAACAAACAACAAACAACAAACAACAAACAACAAACAACAAACAACAAACAACAAACAACAAACAACAAACAACAAAAACAACAACAACAACAACAAACAACAACAAAAAACAACAAAACAACAACACAACAAACACCAAACACCAACAACAACAACCAACAACAACACAACAACCAACAACAACACAACAACAACAACAACAACAACAACAACAACAACAACAACAACAACAACAACAACAACAACAACAACAACAACAACAACAACAACAACAACAACAACAACAACAACAACAACAACAACAACAACAACAACAACAACAACCAACAACAACAACAACAACAACAACAACAACAACAACAACAACAACAACAACAACAACAACAACAACAACAACAACAACAACAACAACAACAACAACAACAACACAACCAACAACAACAACAACAACAACAACAACAACAACAACAACAACAACAACAACAACAACAACAACAACAACAACAACAACAACAACAACAACAACAACAACAACAACAACAACAACAACAACAACAACAACAACAACAACAACAACAACAACAACAACAACAACAACAACAACAACAACAACAACAACAACAACAACAACAACAACAACAACAACAACAACAACAGCAGCAACAACAACAACAACAACAACAACAACAACAACAACAACAACAACAACAACAACAACGGCTCACACCACAAACTATTTGCAGCACGCATCTCATACAGAAAGGAACAAGTACGCCTTGCACGTCAAACAATGTGCACTTCAGAATATGTAGTCCACAAAGGACATGAACAAAACAAATAGCGAGTCCTTAGATATTTTGTGTGTGCGAAGCTTTAGCCCTATGTCCTTCCCAAATTATACAACAAACTACTGGATTTTCTGACCGAACCTCAAATAAAGCACAGCAGATCTGGGGGCACGGGTGCCGCAGTTGTCGCAGATCTTCTTGGTATTGAAGACCTCGACCCATAAGACGATGAAATCATTCTTGCAGGCCCCCCCCCCCTTTGGGGTTGCAGATCAATGTCGACCCTGGGATCAACCTGGCGGAATGTCATGAGTCATGGGTGATCAGAACCTGCTTGGCACTTGGAGAGGCAACGCCTCTGATTGCGGCCACCGTTGCTTCATGTCTGTGTGTGTGTGTTCCGCAGCCAGTCGACGTGCCTGGAGTAATCTTCGAAGCTGGAGCGTACGACACAGTCTGGGCAGCATGCCGGCCGGCGGCCAGTGGTGCCGTGCATGTAGAGAGTATCTGGCAGGCAATGCAAAGCACGATGGAAATGCAACGGGCCAGCCTTTTTGTTTGTTTCAATGGATAAGATGAGACAAACAGGAGGCGCTTAACAACATGGGCTTGTCTGTTTCAGGGGACCCGCCTCTCCACAATGGTTGGGTTCCTTTGGGTTTCCCTTGAAAACCAACCAAAGAGGGGCACCCCTCACAGCCTCAAAACAAACAAGCTGAGCCCTTGCCGGCCTTCTCCGGCTTCTTGTTGCTCCATCTTATGCGGGTGCGGTATGATGCACACCTGGCCCAATGGCACCGTTCTTCAAATTGGCCCAATGGTCCCAAAAGCTTGGTCCCCACAAAACAAATTTGGCCCAAAATACAAAATGTGTCTGCCTGTGACATCTCGGCCCTACGTCACGGAGCTGATAAGCACCGACAGCCACTGACCGTCTCAAAGAAGGTTCTTCGGGGTCTAGCCCTTCCCCCAAAAGGGGGCCAGCTGCCATCGCTTGGCCTCAACCGATCGCTCTGCTTTCCAGTGCCTCGTTCTGGTCCCGTGGCAGGGCATTGGTCAGAAGGGGCAACAAAGCCGACAGAAGGGCCTGGGCTCGTGCGCTGGTTAAAACTCCTTCTGTGGACCAAGGGGACGGCACCCTGCCTAGAAATCCTCACCATGGCAATCTCAGTGGATGCTTTCCATCGCTTGTGGTGCTCTCACGCAGGAACATTGCTCTGACACCTGAATTGCGAAAGGAGCTGGAACGTATAATGTACACATACCGCTGATGAGCACCACCCAGAACACGCAATGTGGTCTTTGATGATTGCACGTTCAGGGCTTCACGTCCAGCACTGCCCCACTGCATCTGCGCTTTGTGTTGGCACCCCCCCCTCCGACAACCTTGAAAGTATGCATCTTGTCACCACCGCACTGAGGATTCTGGAATCCTTCAAAAAACAATCACTTGCAGGTTGCGAGGATTTGGTACTTGGCGCATTCAACGTGCCGGGTGTATGTTTGCGTTGCCCAAGGCCGCAGCGGAGAGCCACGCAATGCATGGTGAAGAAAGTTCCTGCGAGTGAGCCAAAGTGCGCAACACAAGTCTTGACGGCAGCTGCGAAATTGGTAGAATTGATTGTCCAAATCCTGGAAAAAACGTATTATTCCAACTCATCCTGATGGAATTTGGGGCACAAAAATAGATGCTTTTGACCCTTCACGAGGCGTGGTACGGGGAACTTCGGGTTCTCAATAGCCCCAGGACGCATGGGGATCTGCAAATTCCACTATAATTGTAACACCTGAACGAAGAAGTGAAGGATCTACATCATGACGAGCAAGCTCACCATACAATTTGCAGACATCATGATCACAGCATTGACATTTGCGGCATTTGAACAACATGCCCTCCATGTCGGGGCTTCTGTGAAGAAAGGTGGATTGAAACTGTTCTTGAGCTGGTTTCTTCAAGCAGTCCTCCCACCATACAGAAAAAAAAACAACAAACTCAATGTTCAACTGCACAAGCAAGCCGCATGAACAAAAAACGGCAAGGCAAAAACACCCAAAACATCGTTACGTTGCATGTACCAGAACGTGGTGCCACCGAATGATTTAACTGTGCGCTCATTGAAGAATCTGGAGCTTGCATCATCAAGAATGACTGCGCGCAAATCCCGTGAGGTGCATGCAACAAACGTCTAGAGCGAACACCCATAGCCATGTGGCCATGCCTCAAAATACGGAGATACACCAGTGTGGCAACCTCACATGTCTGCCTCAAAGAGCAGCCTCTCCTCGTCAATCTCTTCCATATCGACATCAACGGAGTCTTTGGGCTCCTGCAGTCACATGTCACTATCAGATCCATTTGGGTGAAATTGGATATGGACCTGAAGAGAATTCTGGCCCAAACTTTCCAAATGTGGTCTTCCCTTTAATGCCAGCCAAAACAGAAGCACCGCCAAACAAACCACAACCATTTACACACAAGGACATCCCCTCGTTTGAATTGCCTCCAAGGGTCACACCCGTGTCGAAAGCGTGTCAAATCATCTCAGGGCGGCGTTCAAGAGCAAACCCGATGTCTGTGTCATGGATAAAAAGTAGCAGTGTGGCACCTACAACTGAACGAGCCCTAGATGCATTTGTCAAGTGCGGACAAGCAAGGCTTGCCAATGAGGGGAGCTTAGACCCTCCAGTTCAGGTTCTCCTACATATGGTCGTGGTCAAAATGTCTCCCCAGCCCGCCTCTGTACTTCCCGTTGCGGGCGAAGACACTTTGTCTGAGCAAAAACATGCGATGTGCAGACCGCCACTCCCTGGAAATACTAGAACTCCGGACCCTTTGGCTCAGCAAGTTTCCGCAGTGAGTTGACCGATTTCAAGATCAGCCAGCAGCTCTGCCAGCGTTTGGGTGTTGTTTTTGAGGGCGCGCTTTTGGGCGTGGCTCAAAAGGAGGGGCAACGGGGTTTTCTTGGCAGTTGCCATGATCCCAATCAGGTATTAAAGCCACCGACTAAAGTGGACCTTTTGGGTTCTGGGCGCTGCTTAAATCCCGCCTGAGGCTTCGTGCAGGTCCCCTTCGTCAGGAAAGACTGGCACCGGGCCCTGAGCGAAAGCCTGGTCAAAGCGTAGCATTGGTGGCTATTCGTGCAAAATACATACAGCTTCTTTGTTCGGTGGGAAAAGGCACTTTTTCAACCAACAAGTCAAAGGTGAAAGATCCAACTGCCATTTCACTTGCCTGGAACGAAATAACTTGAAACTCGTGCGGCAAGGCAGGCCTCCCATTTCAGGTTCGCCTCCGAGTCTGAGAAATCCGACCGTGCAAATGGGCGCCTGCATGCAGACAACCCGCGCATGGCAAATCAAAATGCAGGAAACGCTGGGAAACCACAAAAATTATCGCAAGAGATTCGCATAGAGACATACATATGCGTATCTCCATATGTATACTATGTGAGCAATGACAAGGGATTTTGTGATGATCCCAGATTTTGGTGAGTGCGCCCCGTGTCATCCCATTCAGTACCGTAAATGATGGCGGCATCCCGAGCATTTGTTCTACATACATATACTATATGTAAAATACAACATCCTTAAACTACCAGGCGCTTGACGTGGCGGACCCAACGTCCAAACACCAACCCGAAATCAAATACTACCCAATAAGAAATGTTGCGTATCTCTGAGGACGGGCCATGAGGCGTATGTTTGTTAAGGCCATCATCTGCTGGGGACTATGTTCCATTCGTGGAGATCGGCAACTTCCGTCGTTTTGAAGCAGGGTGCATGAATGCGACGCATAAGTCGATTTTCTTTGTCTTTGAATGGGCTTAACTGTCAATGGATTCGAAGCTGGGCACCCGTGGGCTGATGCCTGCTTCCGGGATTCTTGTGAGGCTTACGCTGCCCAAACACAAACGTCAACCAAACCTAAAGACAGCTTTGGGTACAATATATCGACCATCCGCACGTCTACCCCTGTATCAATTTGCACGTTGGTTGCCTTTGCAAATCCGTTCATGCGAATCAGAACTGCAAGAACCTGTCAACCCTACCTCAATGTCCACATGTTTAGCTGGAAATCCGGCGCTTTGTTGCGACAAACCGACAAACATGACCGTAGCCGTCAAAAGAAATGGGATCTTTTTGATGGTACAAAAAGAAAAAAGATGCAAACCCAAATGCACAACACTCTCGGGTTGCTGCGTGGGTACACGCTGCACACACACTGAATTGCACTGATCCTCCTCCCCCAACAGCCTTGGCATCGCTGGCATCACCTCAGCCTGGCAAACGGTGAACATTCGAAGAAAAATGACCACTGACGGCGTTGACAACAAATGCCGGTGTGACAACGATACGCGTCCTCATCAAACAAATGCCGAAGTGCGTTCCATTACAACATTCCGGCAAATAATTGAATGTGGAGTGCGGCATTTGTCTCCAAAATGGGTTTTTCCTTGGTTCCTACCAACATACCCACGAGAGTAGGGGGGTTTGGCTTGCGTAACGCCTAGAAGCCTAGAAGCCTAGAAGCCTAATACTGGCATCACGCCTAGAAGCCTAGAAGCCTAATAGCGGCGTCACGCCTAGAAGCCGAAAAGCCTAGAAGCCTAGAAGCCCAATACTGGCGTCACGCCTAGAAGCCTAGAAGCCTAATACCGGCGTCACGCCTAGAAGCCGAGAAGCCTAGAAGCCTAGAAGCCTAGAAGCCTAAAAGCCTAATACTGGCGTCACGCCTAGAAGCCTAGAAGTCTAGACGCCTAGAAGCCCTAGAAGCCTATATGCTGTATCATTTTTGTTTCGTTTCTGCGCCTTTGCACTTTTCTGCACTTACACGCTCACGCTTTATTGCGCCTCATTGCGCTTCTACGCTTCTGCGCTTAATTGCGCTTCTGCGCTTAGTTGCGCTTCTGCGCTTAATTGCGCTTCTGCGCTTAATTGCACTTCTACGCTTCTGGGCTTAATTGCGCTTTTGCGCTTCTGCGCTTGATTGCGCTTCTACGCTTCTGCGCTGTATTGCGCTTCTGCGCTTTACTGCGCTTTCGCGCTTAATTACGCTTCTACGCTTCTGCGCTTAATTGCGCTTTTGCGCTTCTGCGCTTAATTGCGCTTCTACGCTTCTGCGCTGTATTGCGCTTTTGCGCTTCTGCGCTTTATTGCGCTTCTGCGCTTCTACGCTTTATTGCGCTTCTATGCTTCTACGCTTAATTGCGCTTGCACGCGCTTATTTGCGCTTCTACTCTTTATTTGCGCTTCTACAATTTACATCGCTTTACTGCGCTTCTACGCTTTACTGCGCATCTACGCCTCTACGCTTAATTGCGCAATGACTATTCAGGTTGATAAATGATCATTTAGGAAAATACACCCTCCGTGTCCGACGGTGAAACAGGAGGACAAGTATTCGGGATCAGAAACAACCAAATTAACTCAAGCGGCATGAGGTCCTGACGGGAATAGGCGCTTTATGATCAAGCAGAGGCCAGCTAAGATCTTCCGTCTCCACTGGCCATCGCTCTCGCGAGGCAACACCTACACCTGTACATCGGATCTCCGGCAAATATGAACAATAATGAAATGGATTGAGATTTGAACAAGTAAATTGATGTCTGCCATAGTTCCTGATGAAAAGCAGCGCCAGTTCCAGTTGCGGGGATGCGTCCAGGGTTGTTGATCTTCTTCCCACCATGAGTTCCTTGTCACACCCACAACGCCGGGGAGAGGGGTCTTGCCAGCACCTGAATGTGCTCTCACTCTCGACGAAAATTAGCAGATCAACCAGAATTCTGCAAAAATCTTCCGCCGTGGCAGACACACATATCGTCGGGGTTGATCTCCTCGAATGCCTCCTGCAATGCCACCGCTAGCCGTGCTGCGTACCTTGGAACAGCACGGCACCTTTGATCATCTCCTTGGTGCGCTCAAAGCTCAGGGTGACGCAGCGGGGCACTTTCTGGATAAACTCAAGCGCAGAAGGCGTCAGGTCTCCCCGCGGAGCGCTGTAGGCAGAAAACGGGTCGGTGATGAGGCGCTCGTAAAGACTTTTGCAACCCTTCCCCACAAGACAGAGCTTTCATAATGCCCGAGCCTCCTTGGCCGCTCCTAAGAGTCCATGTGCTGCGTCAATATCTGGGTTTCGATTTGCTCCATGATTCAGGGAACGGCCATCTCTTCAAGACGCGCAACACGTGCCACTTTCTTGATGTCCGGCATTTTCTCCTGCAGAACGTCGCATTGAAGCAATGAGTTGAAACGGGCACATTTATCGGGGAGTGCGAGGACACGTCGCGCGGCCATGCTTGAACGCAAGGCCGGGGAGGCCAGGGCCGACCACCCTATCAACATCGCGGTTGATGTCGATACGCCCGCGGAGACGGGGAGGCCCTTGTCACTGAAGCTTGGGTTTCAAGCAAGGTCATCATTTACGCGGCCCTAAAGTCATATGGTCCAACCGCATGCGCGTGAGCCTTCGTCGCAACAAGATCAGGCAGTATCGAAGGCATCAAGGACGGCAAGGACCTCGCGCCTGTGCTCTTCTTGTTCATGGCGACGACTGATCGTGATTGAATGGGCAGTACAAGTCCTGGGGCGCAGGATTTGCAGCGACACGATGCGTCCGTTCCTGATCAGAAAGCCAACCAAGTGTACCGGTTTGGTTGATGAGAACCTTTCCAAGGATGAGCAGATCGAGCTGCGCTTCGAAACCGCCCGCTACGCTCTCTACTGGAATTGGGCCCGAGTGGTCCATCAGCAGCCCGGGGAGACCTGTGGTCGAAGTGGTCTTTGGCAGCATCTCAAATAAGAAGAAGGCAACAAATTGGAGGTACGCCGAAGTCATTCACGTGCCCGAGTCGGAGTGCTACGCATGCCATGTTTTGAATCCTGTTGGATCTATGATGTCAAAGAAACCTTGCGTCGCGCGTGCGGTATGCAATTTTGGGCATCGCGCTTTCGGCGAGCGTCCGTGAAGTTCTGACAGAACCAGGCCGGGCGCCATTCTTCGCATGGTCACGGGTATAGTTGGCATTGCGGGTGATGCGCGTGGTTGAATCCCACCGCTTCTGTCACCCAGTCATTGTGACCAGTGATGGAGCGGATGCGCAAGGGCATGATCTTGGATTGTTCCATTGAACACCTCGATATACACCTCGATTCGCTTCGATGCTCTGGCCGCTTGCAGCATGAACAAACTGAGCGCAGTGTCAATCATATCTGCGAAGGATCCACTTTTGTGACAGCCTCAAAGTCCAGGGAAAGGTCATGCAAATTGATCTCGGGAATCGACCGCGTGGAGCGCTCGGCAGCATGACCAACGGGAACGCTGATGATACCCGAGTATCTGACTCACTCAAACACCGTCCTGCCTTTGAACTTGCGGAGACGGTTTCATTTCTGGAGTTCACTTCCCTTCTCGGCACAAATCTCGAATATTTTGCCAACGTGACTTCTTTTTGCCCTCTTTTGACGACTTGCAACCATTCACGCACAGTGTTAGAGTCCCACGCGCCCTTGCTTTCAAAAACTGCCATTCAAGATTGAAGCATAGAAGCCGCCAAAGTCTACGTCGCTGAGAGGCCCACAAGCCTAGAAGCCTAAAGCCGAGTCACGCCTGGAAGCCTAGAAGCTCTGCTGCGCTTCTGCGCTTTACTGCGCTTCTACGCTTCAGTGTGCTTTCACGCTTCTGCGCTTTCTTGCGCTTGTACGCTTCTGCGCTTAAATGCGCTTCTACGCTTCTGCGCTGTATTGCGCTTCTGCGCTTTACTGCGCTTTCGCGCTTAATTGCGCTTCTACGCTTCTGCGCTTAATTGCGCTTCTGCGCTTAATTGCGCTTCTACGCTTCTGCGCTTAATTGCGCTTCTACGCTTCTGCGCTTAATTACGCTTGCGCGCTTCTGCGCTTAATTGCGCTTTTGCGCTTAATTGCGCTTCTACACTTCTGCGCTTAATTGCGCTTCTACGCTTCTGCGCGTTGTTGCGCTTCTACGCTTTTTTGCGTTGCGCGCTTCTGCACTTTAGCTCGCTTCATTGTTTCTGCGCTTTGCTCCGCTTGTTCTGTGCTGCGCTTGTGTGCTTTGCTGCGCCTCGCTCCCTGGCGGCGCTTCTGCGCTTCTCGGCTTCTGCGATTTATTGCGCTTCTGCGCTTCTGCGCTTCTCGGCTTCTGCGATTTATTGCGCTTCTGCGCTTCTCGGCTTCTTCGGTTTATTGCGCTTCTGCGCTTCTGCGCCTCTCGGCTTCTGCGATTTATTGCGCTTCTGCGCTTCTGCGCTTCTCGGCTTCTGCGGTTTATTGCGCTTCTGCGCTTCGCGGCTTCGCCGCTTGACACACCCGGGCTGCAACCCAAATCCCCTTGCAATGCAACGTACGCCCCTCATTGTTTGTTGAGGCCAAACAGTTAGGTAGGGCCATGCGCAACTTTTTTCGGACTCAAAAGTCTAGGGTCTACCCTAGGTTTTTTTGCATTTTTTGAATAAGCGCCTCAAAACAGCCATTTTAAAACATTTTTTGAAACAGTCTAAACACATTTTGATAAATATTTTTTTAGTACTGCATACCAAAACAAAAATTGAATTATTTTTTGAAAAATTCAATACACCTAAACATGTTTATTTTCAAAAACACACATTTTCCAAAATATTTTAGAAAATATATTTTTTTCAAAAGAGATAAATATATATATATCATTTTAAGAAGAATTATTCAATAAGAAACAACATTTTCAATAATTCAATGAGAAGACAAATAATTAATCATTTTTCAAATTTTGGATATTCCGGAGTTGCGCATGGCCCACCTTGTAGGATTCTATCTTCAATATATAAAACGCTATACTTACATTATAATTATAACATATAAGGGTATAAATGTTATTATTATAGTATGGTTATAATTTAAATTCAGGATAACTATTTAATTGATATATCTTTCCTCTTTCATACATCATTTTAATAATACTATTAATATCTCTCACTGTATTTTTAACATTAAACTTTTCACTTTCAATAAATAATTTAATGATTTTTTTTACATCAACCCCTTCCATTTTATGATAAATCAATGCCCATAATATGTAGTCAATAATTTCATACTTTCTCTTACTGATTTTAAGAAATGCTTTAACATAATCATAAGGCGGTATTTCATACACAGTTAAAAATATCAAAATGTCATCTTCAACATTTCTTTTATTAAGCCTTTTAATATCTAAATTATATTCGATTGCGTCTTGGTAATATCTCCATTTTTTACATGTTCTGCATATATTTTCTTTACCCAAAGAATAATC